CATAAACTCTGTCCAAACGGTGCACAATCCATCATATAAGGCCTACAAGAGTGTCAGCTCCATGTCAGGGTCAGTCAAGCATAGGTCAGGGTCAAGGTCAGGTCAACCGGGTAGGCACATATCCCCGAAAATCAAAACTGATATTCGCAGCCTGTGACACATGTTTTACAGGTAATTTGGGGCGTAGAACACGATGGTGACATTCATTTTGTCATATGTGTACGTGTTTGGCTCAAAAAGTTCAATTTAAGAAATGCATGTATCATGGTCGTGAAGTAGTCACGAAAAATTGCCAAGATTCAGTTCAAGATTATGGAAAATGCGGAACGATAATCAATAATCCAAGATAGCCATTTGATTGATCATGGTATTGGCAGTCTAATGGCGTTTACGGCATGTCTGTATGTCTATTCTGTGATTTTATATGATTTTTTGAACATATGCCGTTTTTGGTCGAAAACACAGAAATCATGACGTCACTAAAACCTCGATATTTCAAAAAATTTCCGACCGATTTTTTTGAAACTTTGCCACAATAAACTTCATTCAATTCCCTACAGGTACCCAAAATTTGGCGCGCCTGCGGCGCGCCGTTTTTATGCTATGGCCCGGCGAAAAAAGTGGGGGCGTTTAACGCCCCCCCCCCCCAGCAACTCGCGGGTTATTACGCATTAGAATTGCAAAACTGCGGCGATTTTTATCTCGATTCTCACGGCGCCGCAGGGCTATGAGAAGTTCGTGGCCATGAAGCAGGCCAACCCGGCGCTGAAGGTGCTGCTGGCCATCGGCGGCTGGAACGAGTCGCTGGACCCCAAGTACTCCACCATGCTGGCCAACCCCTCGCTGCGCCAAGGCTTCGTGTCGAACGCCGTCCAGTTTCTGCAGCAGCACGGCTTCGACGGCCTGGACCTGGACTACGAGTACCCGTCGGCGGCCGACCGGGCCGGGTTCGCCGCCTGGGTGACCGAGCTGCGCGCCGCCTTCCAGCCGCACGGCCTGCTGCTCACCGCCGCCGTCACCGCCAGCGCCGCCAAAATCGACGCCGGGTACGACGTGCCGGCCGTCTCGGCGGCGCTCGACTTCATCAACGTGATGGCGTACGACCTGCACGGCTCGTGGGAGGCCACCGCCGACCACCACGCGCCGCTGCTGCCGCGCGCCTCGGACGCCGGCAGCGGCCTGGACTTGCAGTCCGTGATGGAGGCCTGGAGGAGTCGCGGAGCGCCGGCCGCCAAACTGGCCGTGGGCGTGCCGCTGTACGGTCGCAGCTGGACGGTGCCCGGGGCCGACAAGACGCCGCCCGTGGCCGGGTCCGGCGCCGGTGTGGCCGGGCCGCACACCCAGGAGGCCGGCAGCCTCTCCTACTTCGAGATCTGCAAGAACGTCAACGCCGGCTGGACTGTGGTGCAGGTGGGTCATGTGGCTAAACGTTACATTGGGTGCAGAGGACGGAGGATGGCGGTTGACTCGGAGTGCAGTCATTTAACCTTTCTAAAAGCGCGGAAAGATGAGTGCTCTAAACATAATTGCATCACTGACAAAATCAGCATCTCGTCTGGCCGTGTGTCACTCAACATGTCTCCCGCCGCCCCAGACTGACGTGCCGCTCTGCCGCCGCAGGACCCGACCGGGAAGATCGGGCCGTACGCCTACTCGGGAGACCAATGGGTCGGGTACGACGACACCGCCATGGTGGCCGCCAAGACCCGGTGGGCCGTCAGCCAGGGATTCGGGGCCGTCATGGTCTGGGACGTCAGCTCCGAGGACGTCAGGTACGGAGATAGCTGAGGCCAGGGCAAGGGTGATGGGACAGATAACCCGCGCCGGGCCGGTGCTCTGAGATTCCGCGCCGGGCCGGGGGGTGTCTGAACACCCCCTCTTCTAACTCGGCTCCTGGGCCACGTAGCGACACGCGGTAAGCGGCAGTCGAAAGAACGTCCAAAATAAGGACGAAAACACTTCAGTCATTTTTGGGGTCAGGTCAAAGGTCAGATCACCAGAGGTCACCAAAGGTAAAATGTTGACTATTTCAACAGAAACTGCCAACGGCTATCTCGGGAACCGATAGAGCTACAGCGCCGCGGAAAAGCGCATTCGATAGCCCTTTTACAGACATTTCTGAATAATGTGTTCAGATTTGACCTAAGGTCAACGGTTTAGCCTCCAGAGGGCAAAAACTCCAAAAATAGCCGTTTTTACGAAAAACGTTTTTTCTGCAATAACTTTTGCCTCGAAAGAGCCATGACATTTCTTTTGCCAGCATCGTGTTCCTCTCGTCGAGACGCGTCGAATGAACTATAATTTGACCTTGAAAGGTCAAGGAAAATTTGACCTCAGGTCAAGGTCATGACCTGACCGGTAAAGGTCATGTTGCATATCAGTCGATCCGCAACGTCGAGCCGAACACATCTAAGGCTTTTTCAGCGCTCTAGCACGCCTCTATCAGAAGTTATTAGCGAAAAACTGTTAGATTCTGTTCGTGACCTGAGATGACCTCTGGGACATAATGAGGGGTCACAGTTGCCATTTTCCGATTCAGTGTGTCAATTTTACCTACATCTCGATGTTTGGGAGTGTCTAGAATAGCGTTCGTGCAAAACAGACGCTTTTCAATTTTCTCCCATTGACTTAGGGGAGAGGCCGCAAAATTGACCTTACCTTAGGTCACCGATATCAAAATTCCGAGATATACATTTTATAGATAAGGTTGCTCTAACCAATCGCTGAAAGTTTCAAGGCAATCGATCAATCGGTGTAGCTATGACGAGCATTCATATTTTTTCTGAGGTGAGGTCACTTGGCGTGACCTGGTGACCTGACCTAAGGTGACCTGGGTCTAAAATGTTCACAACATGTGCGGAAAAGATGCACGAACAGGTGTGCCAAAAACGGCGGCGCTCCGCGCCGCCGTTTTTGAGATATCTGCGAAAACCCACAGGGGGGGGGGGTGTTCAAACACCCCCCCCGGCCCGGCGCGGGATAATAGGTGATGAGTGATTTGGTTAGTGGTGCTTCGGCGGAGAAACACAGCTGCACCACACCATGCACGGATCCGAATGACACCTTTTCTGTTTATGCTCGGGTAGGTATCGGGTTATTTGTGCTGTCAAAATAAGGTATCCAATTAAAAGCGAAAAATGCTACATCGTTTCAGAAACGGTTGCGGCGGTGGCGCGTGGCCGCTGATGTCGGCAATCCAGGCGAACCTCGGCCCGACCACCAGCACCACTACGACCGCCGGCACCACCAGCACCACCACAGCGGGCACCACCACAGCGGGCACCACCACTACGACCGCCGGCACTACAGCTGGAACTACCACCACTGCGGGAACTACGACGACCACTGCGGGAACTACGACCACCACTACCACGGCCGGGCCCGGAGGATCCTGTGAGTATACCGTCCCGAGCTGTCCCGAGGGGCACTCATCACGTGCTCTCGCCTGTTGCGACTTCTGTACAGTTTGTGATGATTACGGCCCATGCCCGCACTCTCATGCCCAAGCCCATGCGCTGTCTGCGGTCCTAACTGTCGTATCCGGTTCCGCTCCATATGCTCGTGTCCCTACAATACGCACAGCACAGTGAGCAGTGTCTCCGTCTTACCTGTTCGGCAGTCCCGTGTCCCTATCACCTGTATAACGACCCCGCCCCTGGCCGGCAGTCTCGTGTCCCTCTCGGTTATGTAACGACCCCGCCCCCGTCCGGCAGTCTCTCGTCCCTATCAGCCGTATAACGACCCGTCCCTGTCCGGCAGTTTCGCGTCCCTATCATCTGTGTAACGACCCGGTCCGGCAGTCTCGTGTCCCTCTCGGTTATGTAACGACCCCACCCCTGTCCGGCAGTCTCGTGTCGCTATCCGCGGTGTAACGACCCTGTCCGGCAGTCTCGTGTCCCTGTCAGTTAGGTACCGCCCCTGGCCGGCAGTCTCGTGTCTCTCAGTTGTGTAACGACCCGGTCCGGCAGTCTCGTGTCTTTATCAGCTGTGTAACGACCCGGTCCGGCAGTCTCGTGTCCCTCTCGGTTGTGTAACGACCCCGCCCCTGGCCGGCAGTCTCGTGCCCCTATCAGTAATGTAACGACCCTGTCCCTCTCCGGCAGTCTCGCGCCCCTATCAGTTGTGTAACGTCCCTGTCCGGCAGTCCCGTGTCCCTATCAGTAATGTAACGACCCTGTCCCTGGCCGGCAGTCTCGTGTCCCTCTCGGTTATGTAACGACCCCGTCCCTGTCCGGCAGTCTCGTATCCCATCAGTTTTGTAACGACCCCGCCCCCGTCCGGCAGTCCCGTGTCCCTATCAGTAATGTAACGACCCCGTCCCTGTCCGGCAGTCTCGTGTCTCTCAGTTTTGTAACGACCCCACCCCTGTCCGGTAGTCCCGTGTCGCTATCCGCTGTGTAACGACCCCGTCCGGCAGTCTCATGTCCTCAGCTGTATAACCACCTCGTCGTCCCTGGCCGGCAGTCTCGTGTCCCTCTGCGAACGGCCTGTTCCCGGACCCGTACGACTGCCAGAGCTACTACAACTGCGGCCACGGCACGCCGCACCACTACACGTGTCCCAGCGGCACGCTCTTCGACCCGACGGCGCTTAACTGCAACTGGGCCAGCCAAGTGACGTGAGTGGGCCGGGGGAGGAGGGCCGGTCAGATATCTCAGAGGTACACGACAATATGACGGAAACCTTTAATCTCTTCGATTTTTTTTTTTAACCAGGTTTCATAAAGAGGGGTTCGTCTGATGTTCGCATGTCATCATCGACGTAAATCGCTACTGTCCCAGATCCTTTCATCGCTCCTGCCTTCCTAGCCTTGCTCCCAGCGATAACTGAAGTCGACCGTAGCTTCATCCACTATATGACGGCAAGGAATAACTCTACGGTGTTAGGTACTATTTGCAGCCTGCATCATCAGACACCTGCCTGCAAAACAGGAAGACCGAAGCAAAATGAACCCATTGAACGATGTTCAGGCAGACGACATTCAGGCGAAAGAGAGCAGACAGATTCAATTTGGTTTATTCCATATCCTCGTGAAACAACAGAACAAATCACACTCTCTCGGCCCGACCTCCTCTCTCTTTCCTAGGCTAATTCCTATACACGGACCGCGTCACCCCCTCTACTCAGTCGTCACATCCTCTCCTTTCCTCTCTCGAACAGTCCGGAGCTCATTCGTGTCGCTCCCTCCCTCCTCTGCTCTGTCGGCGCCTCCTCTCCCTCTCTCCGCGACAGTCCAGCCCGCACCAGTCGCCCGTCACTCGGCCGCTGGTTTGCGGGCCATCAGAAGGTAGCTCTGGCGGCGCTCCGTGGCTGACGCCACATCGATTCCACGACTCTGGGCGTCGTTGATGACGGCACACATCTTCTCGCGGGTCCGACGCAGCAGCGAGTCGCCGTCGGCAGCTCCGCGAGCGGCCACCAGCTCCTGGTATCCGGACCAGCTAGCGATCTCGCCTAGCACGAGCTCCAAGGAGAAGGGCCGCTCAATGAAGTAGCTCTCCTCGTCCCACTGAATCTCAGGGTAGGAGATCATCGCCTCCGCCTCATGGGTTTTGGACATTATGTCCCCCAGCAGTGTGGGCATCGGCCAGTGATCGGCCAGGTGCACGTACAGCACCTCCTTGAAAATGTCGTCCAGCTCGGTCCACACAGTGCCGTCGGGCAGTCGGAAGGACGGCTCGTTGTAGCTGTAGATGGCGATCACTCCACCGGGCGCCAGGACCCGGTCAACCTCTGCCAGAAACCGCTCCCGGTCGAACCAGTGGAAGCACACGGAGGCGGTGACCAGGTTCACCGATCCGTCCGGCACCGGGATCTCCTCGGCCGGCGCCACCTGGTAGGTGACGCCGCCGCCGCTCGTGCTGCTGCCGGCCGCCTCTGCCACCTGGGCGGGGCTGATGTCCGTGCCCAGGACCGAGCCAAAGTGCGGCGCCAGCAGCCGGGTGTTCTGGCCGCTGCCGCAACCGACGTCCACGGCTCGGTGCAGGGGTGACGAGCGGCGGACGTACTGCAGCACGTGAGCGATCAGCGCCGCAGGCGGCTCCGGACGGAACTGGGCGTACAGGCGCGCGTGCTGAGAGCCCTCGAACGCACGAAGCATAGCGGCGGTGACGGGCGGTCGGTCAGACGGTAAGAGACGGTCGGTGAGACGGTAAGAGACGGTCGGTGAGACGGTGAGCGGCGGTCGGTGGCTGCAGCAGCTGGCGAGTGACTCAGACTGGTTGTATGCCCGCCGATCAATAGGCTACTGCCTCAGGGGATGGGCGTCGCCCAGGTACGAGCACTGAGGGTTTTTAACGAAACACTGATGAGTGACGACTGGAGCCCTGGACTGTCCTCTGCACCACTGACCCCTCTCCAGTAACTGAAAATGCCTACACTGTAGCCAAGTGGCCGCCCAGACGGCACTGGAGCAGGCCCTGGCCCGCGTCATAATGACATGCCTACATGCCTAGATGTATGAACAGGCTCCGTATAAATGTAACGTATAAATACATGTATTGCTGAAATCAGCACACGATACCGCAGGCGTGACAATGAGAATATAAGCGCTTCGGCCACTTGCAAGTTTTCATTCCGTAATACCGTAAATAGCCGCATCATGGGATTCAATGCATCGCAAGTAAGATTAAACTCTGCTTATCGCCACAGCATGGGCTAGGCGCACGTAGATTTCGTTATGAGACAGGCTCAGTTTAAATAAACACCAGGCCATGTGGGAAATGCGGCAGCTAATTGTTAGCTGTCAATGGATTGCTGCGCCCTTATGCAGAGTAGAGCCATGCTAACAAAAATATGCACAACATCCAATCGCCAGCCAGTAAGATGACTGGACAAAGAGTTATGAGGCGTGATTTTAGGATTTATAATATAGATTTAGGTACAACATACGTAGGAGTGGATAATATAAGAACCTCGCTGCTGTTTGAGACGTAGTTTCAGCGACTCCCACCCAGTGTCGTCAGTATTTTCCTACGTTGACCCTGCATTGTCGCAAACCATTCTACGGTGACCGGCTGTGGCGCTCCACAGGTGCGGGGTGACCTCCGGGGGCGATTCAACCACAACCACCACTACCACGACCACGACGACGACCACCACGGCCGGCAGCGGCGGCTCCGGGACCTGTGAGTTATATGGGGCGGGGGTCGGAGTGTGGAGGGAATGGGGACGGACGTATAGAATGTCCCAATTAGTAATACAGGAGCTGGGATAAGCAGTTGCTCAATTGTTGACCGGTCATTATCGTTCTCTTCAATAACTTCTCTGTCACTGACTTGTTTCATCTGACCACTCGGCTGTTCACCTCGGTTTGACCTGAGGTATGTGTCCCTTCTCTGACCTGACCTCTGTGACCCCTGCCGCAGTCACCTGTCCGTCGCCGACGGGCTGGTTCGCCGACCCGTCCGACTGTCACAGTTTCTACAACTGTTTCAACGGCACGCCGCACCACTACACCTGTCCGGCGGGCACCAGCTGGCAGCAGAGCATCACCAACTGCAACTGGTCGTCCATCACCGGCTGCTGAGCAGCTGCCTCAGCCGGCCGGCAGCCGACAGCTGCGGGGAGCTGCTGCGGTAGACAGAACGACCAGCTGCCGGCTTTGGATCTTTAACAACTCTTTATCAGGGCTCGATCTGTACTTCCATCTGTTTTTATCTTTGTGTTGGTAGTAGTGAGTGGCATACCACGGGAACAAATATGAGGTGATGTAGGGTATCTTTTGATGGAATATCGACGACGAATTAAGCATACTAGTCAAAAGCCGGCATTAGGCACTTTGTCGAACGTGTCGCTATTAGCTCTCATATTGATTGACAATACGTTCATTGTTTGTACTTCGTAGTTTAGCGGTAGTGCCTGCTTGGCGGAACAGTCATCGATTGTATGGTTCATTCGATGGTGACGCGGCCTTGTTCTCATAATGACGTTATCTGCGTGTTAACTACTATCGATCGTCGATCGAGAGCGCTCTGCTCAGTTTGATCCTAACTAGGTCAGTCATCAATGACAAAATCATGCATTATTTGCGATAGTTTTGAAGTCTTTTGTTATGCTATCAAATGTTTGGGAGAATAAAACCTGATCTTCGGTGTGTTTCTAATTATACTTATGTCAGTCCAGCCTGTTTTTTTTTTTTTAGTTAACTATGTGTCGATTTCTGCAGTCGGGTTAGTTATCGATGAAAAATTCTGGCGAGGACAAAATCTGACAACCCTGCCACTAATTCAGCGGAACAAGGGTAATGACAACCAATCATGAACCAGATACACGTACAAGCTTGTCTATTCAATTTCACAACAGTATCAAACGATTGCCATGCGTTCGCAAATGCGGATCCATATAAATTACACTGCAGATCGGTATCACCCCAAGCTGCAAAACTAGAAAAGTAATATAATACAGTATCAAACTGGCATATCTGTGAGCAATAACATCATATAAAAACTTATCTACAGTGGCACAAATAGCTGGTGAGATCCTATTCCTTTGTTCAAATAAGTACCGACACACAAAAGGAACTCGAAAAGGGTTGTAACCTAGGTAATCACGTCCTTCCATCTGGGACGATTAAAGCACTGCACAACTTCGCTGAAGGCACGGATTAGTTTGTCGTAAATCGTCTTCACAAGTATTTTGCCCTACAAATGTCAGTCACACAGAAAACTGAGGGGGATTACGTCCAGTGGGTAGGAACTCGCACTGGGAGCATTATACATTGGGGAAGTAGTGAGCGCCCCCGCAGCCCTGAAGATAGGTATTAGGTATCGCCCCCCCCCCCTGCATTGGCTGTAAAGAGCAGCCAAACATTCTACTGGCAAATGTGAAGCTAACGGGAGATAATATCGCTACATAATCACAACAGTTTCATACGTTGTTTTGCACACATATTGTCTCAACACACGATATATCCTGATTAAGGTATTCAACGTTATCATCATTGGTCTGATCATTGCGTCGTCATAAATAGATAAAACTTTACACTAAGGCACAGAAAGGGTTATGTCGCATGCATGCATCTCACCTTTCACTGGCCTGGCAGAAAGGGTTAGCAGAAAGACGACAGACCAATTCGTCTGTAGAAGGAAGACCACTGGCACTCAGCAGCTCTCAGTGACGTCAGAGTCCTCCAAATGACGTCACAAATCCCACAGCCCGGGCGCCGCGCCGGTCCCGGCTCAGATACCCAGCCGGTCGTAGGCGGGCAGGACGGGCGGCGGCTCGGCCGGCTCGTCAAACAGCCGCTCGTCGGGCTGGCCGCCGGGGCCCGCCGGCGGCGGGGGTGGGGGCGGCTCGGCCTCGCCGGCCATCTCCCGAAACACCTCGCCGGTCTCGGTCTGGTAGAGCGCGGCGCCGTCCTCTGCCAGCGTCTTGTAGACGGTGACGCCCGTCTCGGTGCGGTACACCTCGAGAGGCCAGCTGAGCGCCTCCTCCACCCCCGGCACCGGCAGCACGTCCACCATGTAGAACCGGTCGTCGGCCGCCGCCGGATCCGGCGACACGTGGCCGTCGGCCAGCGCCGCCGCCGCCGCCGCCGAGGTCGGCGACGGCGCGCGCGGCGCCGTCTCGTGCACCTTGGCGTGGTCCCGGAGCGCCTCCCGCCGGCTGAACGACTTGTCACACTCCAGGCACGAGTAGGGCTTCTCGCCAGTGTGCAGCCGCGAGTGACGATTCAGGGTTTTGGCGTGCGCGAATGTCATGGCGCACACCTCGCAGGCAAACGGCCGCTCGCCGGTATGGGAGCGGCGGTGGTCGCGCAGGTGGGTGCCGTCGCGGAACGTCTTACCGCACTCCTCGCAGCAGAACTGCCGCTCGCCGCGATGGCCGCGCTTGTGTTTGTACAAATTGGAGACAGTGGTGAAACCCTTTCCACAATCATCACACGTGTAAGGTTTCTCGCCCGAGTGTATCCGCTTGTGAATGTTGAGGTAGTAGGGCGATTTGAACGTCTTACCACAAACCTCGCAGCAGTAGGGTTTGTCCTTGGAGTGGACGCGCCGGTGTATGATGAGGTACGACTGCTGCGCGAACTCGCGGCCGCACTCGTCGCATTTGAACGGTTTGTCGCCGGTGTGCAGCCGCCGGTGGTTGATGAGTGTGGTGCGCAGCGCGAACCGGCGCCCGCACACATCACACTCGTGCGGCCGCTCGCCGGTATGTGTGCGCGCGTGGATCTTGATACTGGCCAGGTACTGAAACTGGCGGCTGCAGACGGTACATTGGTACGGCGCCGGACCCTCCACCCGCTGCCAGGGCACGGGGGGCTTGGCCGGCCGCGCCGCCGGCCTGGCCTTGGACGGCGGGCGCCGGCGAGCCCGGGACTTGGCCGGGAGTTGGGTGCCCATCACCTGGAAAGGACGACCATTAGATGGTCATTATATACCGCCGCTTCCCATATTTAACAGACAGCTAATGCAATCAATAGAGTAAAGTAAGATGGGTGAGACGGGCTTCAGTAGATGATTTCGCTGAGTTTAAATCAGGCGGAAGCAGTAGGAAACGATAAAGGCCTTGGATCGGCCAGAGCAAAACAATTATTTTACCCATTGTATCAAATGCACTGAGTCTAAGTCGATGTCTCATCTTTCCCCACTCTTACCTTGGCTCCTGGGGGCACGCTAGGACCGATAATGTCCGCGTTATTCTCCGGTTCGGTCTCTGCGTCCGGGCCGTCCACTTCAACAGCCAGCGGGTCGTCCTCGTCTGAAAACCGAGCACACACCATCGGTGAGAAATAATACATCTAGGCGCAATGATCGAATGTGGGGGAAAACAATGTGCTAGAAGATTCTTACTTCCAATATGAATAACTGCATCTAAGGAGTGGGTCTACTTAGGAATTTCGTTTCCATAACATTAAAGGGATTTACCATGTGGAATTTCTGCCAAAATCTGTTACAGGCCAAGCCGCCAATTGCAGGAACTATGACGCTCAACAATATGAATTAGGGTTAAGTTTGAGGGTGGAAGGGGGAGGGAAGTTTTCTGTACCTGCTCCATCTGGTTGATGCGAGACGAGTAGAGCCGGGTCATCTGTCAGGGAGGAAGAACCCAGAAACACGTCCTCCTCCTCCTGACCCTCCGCCTGCTCTCTCTGTTTCTCCGGGTCACCGGGCCGGTCCGTCGGGGGTCCCTTCACCTTCCCGGGCTGGTCAGGGTGACAGTATGAGCCAGCGGGGCTCACAGCAGCTCCCGTCGTGCAATCATCGCTAACACGGACCGCCTGCACCGGTATAATGTTCACTGGAGCCGTCTCCTCTGCGGGTGCCAACCCGCCTGGGCACAGGGCCACAGTCACAGCCGCAGCGGCATTGCTCTCCGCCCGGGGCTCCTCCTTTACACTGAGGTGTGCCTCACTGAGACCCGACCGGGCCGCTGTCTGCCCGTTGGTCCGGACAGCAGCAGACGCTGCTGCCTTTTTCCGCCCCGCGGTGGCGAGTCCCCTCAGCTGCCGCCTCAGCCGGTCCACTTGGGCCAGGAGGTCATCGAGGTCCTCCAGTAGGTGGATGCAATTGCCACAGAGGGCATCCTCCTGCTCTGGCGGGGGTCGGTCGGAGAACTCTAAGCTGAGCCGAATGGCTAGGCGCGTCTGCAGTTGTGCTAGCCATCGGGTGGGTTGAGCACACTTTGTACTGCACACCAGGCAAAGCACAGGCTGAGGACCCTCCATCACTACTGAAACAAGAAGAATAGGTTAAGAGTAGGTACCTACAATTTGGCCCTACTATGACTATGAATCAAAACTTGCAAATTTAAGCAAAGTAGGCATCTTTTGAAATTTAAATATCTCAATCTGAGTGTGTCCAATTTTGTAACATGAGCAATTGAGCAATCTAGGATAAAAATAATATCAAAGTTTTAAGAAAAATACTAAGTAAGTTGGTACATAAGTATTTGCAACACAGAAATGGAAAATATTGTTTGTTTTGTTGGGTTACGCCCTTTCGGTCCGATGAGACCATTTCAGAGCCGGAAGGTGAAGGATGATAGAAATTAGGGGGAGACATTGGTCTGGGCAGACACCCTAGAGAGTCGCCGGGGCTGAGCCCATCTTGATCTGAATGGACAGGCCGACCAGCCCCCCCCCCCCAAGCACTTTGCACCCGGCCATAGTGATAGGGTGCACTCCATCGGGAGCAGCGGTGCCGCTCCAAGGGAACAGCCCACATGAGATAAAGGTGCCTGTCCAGCCCGGAGTGGGGGTTGTGGCGTAGAGAAGGACTTTAGTATCCTGACTCCTGAGGGCTGTTCACGGGCCCTGTGTGCGGTAGGACCGCACACAGCCTCCAAGCTCCGCCCACTGCGTCCCTACGTCAGCCTTCCGTCACCGCACACAGCGATCGCTGTGGCCGGTCGGGACTGGCCACAGCGGACCGTCCACCGCACGCAGCCGTGACGTCAGAGCCGCCTACCCATCCCCTACCCCCACGCCTGCTGGACGCACCGCACACACCGCACGCAGCAGTGTGCGGTGCCCGTGAACACCCCTCTGAGCAAGGCTATATAAACCCAAGTATAAACCCTTGCTCCTGAGGCTCCTGAGGATGGAAGCGATGGAGCGGAGAATGAAAAATTTCAACTACCAGCACAATCACAGTCAGACAACTCCCTCACCATATCATATGGCCACCCGATCACTTACCCAATTTTCTGAAGAAGAAAAACAAGAAAAATTAGCCTGTGGCCTAGTGCCCATCACATAAACATATCAATATAAACATATAAGGCCTATGCCTATGCATCAATTCATAACATGTTCAGAGTCAGACATATCTGGCGCAGATACTACGACTCGGATGTCAATATTTATGTTTTGGGCCGATGACGTCATTCAATTAGAGGGCAGCTATTGGCTGAAATAAATAGTACATGACCGGAGTCAAAATTCCATCAAATTTCAACATTTTCCCAAATATCTTATTTTACTAGTCTACTCCGGCTTTAAAAATTGTGATCAATGTTTTGATCAAAAGTAAAAAACTCCACTTTTATCTGGCACGCTATTTTCAGTTACAAAGTAGGTACCTTCATTTCGTACATTCCATGTATTCATGTTCCATAACACAAGTCAAAAATGCGCAGGCAAGTGGCTGGTAAATTGCACACTACTTCTGTACGCTCATACGTCACCAAAACCGCTTGTATCTCATTCGCCCAGCTTAACAGAAACTCGTCAACCACACTCGCGTCTCTGGACGCCGACTAGCTGTCACCGGCGGGTGCCTCTGGGCCACGGGGCGTCACCCGCGCCTGCGCAGCGCCGCAGCCTTATACGCCCCCGGTGAGCGCCGCGCGTGGCGGTCCGCCCCCGACATCGTCCGGCGCGGCTTAAAACAGCCAGTCACTAGGGCTCAGCTCCTATAGGATCACTCTCGAACTCGTACTCGCGCGCACACCGATCACTCTCATGCGCCCTTGGTTTCCTGAGTGGGCGTGGGTTCACTGCCCTTGTTCCAGCCCTGCAGACCCTTTGGCAGCGCCGTGTCCTCCTCGAAGGAGCCGGTGCCCTCCACGAACTCCTCGTAGGTGGATTTCTCCTTGAAGGGCCGCGGCCCGAGCAGCTCGACCATATCGTCCCGCGCCAGGATCTCCTTCTGCAACAGCCGCTGGGCGACCTGCGCACACAGAAAGAGACCCGTTATTTACCGGTATACACGTAATCTTATCTATTGCAACGGCAACGGCGCCCAGACACACGGCATTAGAAACTTACGCGAAAGCAAGACGAAACGTGTACATGTAAACATACGCTGGATACCATCAGTCAGCCCTCGTCACTTCTTTACATCCCATACGGCTAATGAGAATAACCAAAACACACATCTTCCAGTTGTGAACATTGTTGAACGCCCAAAACATCAGTTGGCAGCCTCCTCACCTTTTCGACGTCGTCCTTGTGCTCGGTGAGCAGCTGCATGGTCCTGTCGAAGGCGCTGCTGATGATGCTGCGCACCTCGCTGTCGATCAGCTGGGCCGTCTCCTCCGAGTACGGCTTGTCCAACACCATGTCGCCAGGCTGCGGCTGCTCGAAGCTGACGTTACCTACCCGGTCGTTCATGCCGAACTGGGTCACCTGAGGACGGCGAGCGGACGAGGGGCGGAGGGGGAGGAGGTTAGCTATGGCGGGGACGGCGAGGCGGGACTTCCATCAGATTCAGACGTTTAACGGGAGCCCGCGAGGTGCCCCTGCGAGTCCTGTGGGTGGGGCCCTTTGGAGTGGGAGTATGACCAGCGCGGTTCCTCAGCTGAGGCCGATTGTCGCTGCAAGACGCCACGATCCCCTCGGGCCCGTGAAGCCCCTGAACCCGATGGAGGGGTCACGTGTCCCTGACCTCCCTCCCAGTTACGCCACTGGCAGAAGCTGTTCCTGACCTGAGCGTAGGCGCTCTGGGTGACCTTCCTGAGGTCGTCCTGCGCGCCGGTCGTGATCCGGTTGAAGAAGATGTGTTCTGAGACGCGTCCGCCGAGCGTCATGCACATGCGGTCGAGCAGCTGCTCCTTGGTGTAGAGGTACTGCTCCTTGGGCAGGTACTGCGCGTACCCGAGACCTTTGCCGCGCGGGATGATCGACACCTGGTGACGGGAGAAACGGGCGGTCAGAAATGGGACGGACGGGAGCGGGGACTCGATGCTGACTGCTAGACAACCCTGGGTCAGAGGGCAGCTGCAGGTAGGCGCAGTGGTGGTTTAGAGGCCAACCTGACACAGAATCAGGCCATTGGAGTCAACAAGCACAGCAGCTTGAGCCGGAAAAATTGTCACGCCTCGTTTCCAGACAGATCACAAACCAAACAACAAATGCCTCCACAGGCCGCATCTCATTTCCCACTGTAATCAAATTGTCATATGGAGAGTCTCCTCTCCACCTTTCTGCGAGCACAACCCATCGGGTCGCATAGCTCGGGGTCCCCCACCACCCGCTCCCGTTACCTTGAGCAGTGGGTCGGCGTGCTCGAGGAACCACCCGGCCACGGCGTGTCCGGCCTCGTGGTACGCCACCGTTCGCTTCTCGTCTGGCTGGAGAACCTGTGTACAATTACAGAGCACACGACTGATCAGAGTGCGGGAGACATTGGCTCAAGAACATATTTAGTATTAGAGTTGGCTGCATGGTGAAATGAGTAACACTTATCAACAGACGATAAATGTGATGTAAAAAAAAATGAGACATCAGCTGTCCCTTTTTATAAATGGTGATACCATTTCATCTCGTTTGTTGGAAACTAAACTCAATATTTGGATACTAAATTGAGTTCGGTTTGCTGGGCTGGTGCCTGCCACTTCCGTTCAGACCTTGCACTACAAAAAAAGCCAGGCCACTAGTTACCTACAAAAAGCCAGCCAGGCCGAGATAAAGCCAGATAGCCGGCAGTCACGCACCTGAGTTTTCTTCTCCATTCCGGCCACCACCCGCTCGATGGCCTGTTCAAAGTGTTTGAGCACGATGCTCTCGTTGAGATCTCTTGCGGCGATCAGCGCCGCCTCGTTACACACGTTAGCAATGTCAGCGCCTGCAGAAAGAACAGAAGACACTCAGAGGCGAGGAACAGCTGAAGCTGGGCATAAGATACAACACATATACTTGATGACAAATATGCTAGTGCTTTCATTAAGCATCAACCTTAATACACGAACTTTTCCAGTTTCAACAATTTCGACGAGATACTCTGGTCTCAGTTTGCTTGCAAGTTAGAAAAAAAATGCATTTTGAGGTAGCTGTCTTCGTTTTACCTGTGAAGCCTGGAGTGAGGGCGGCCATTTTCCGAGCTAGTTCCTCCTTATCGATGTCCGTTTTCAGCTCCTTCAGGTGAACCTGCGGCACGACAAACAACACGTTCAGAGACTACGAAAGCAGGGCGAATCCGTTAAGTGCCGCAAATTGGGCATCACAAGACGATTGAAGAAGACATATGAACTCAATAAAATATACGAGTCAAACGCCGCATAGCTTAAATAAAAATTAAAAAGCATAAGAAGTCAAAACGTACCCAAATACACGGTGAATAGCTACTCCATCTCTCAGAACATATATCTGCTCCCTTTATCAGCTCCGAACCCACCTTGAAGATGGACGCGCGACCCTTGATGTCCGGCGCCGGCACGTAGATCTGCCGGTCGAACCTGCCGGGTCGCATCAGAGCGCTGTCCAGGATGTCCACACGGTTGGTGGCCGCCAGAACCACTACGTTGGTAGTCGTGTTGAAACCTGGCGCACCGCGGAAGGAACGTCACAGAAACTGGCGCCGGTCACACCGGGAGATAGTCGCAGAGAAACTGAGAGAAAGTCAGACATTTATTGGAGATACTATGCAAAAACGACAAAGAGTCCGAAAGACACCTAGCTATGTAAAAGATTTGCCGGAACATTGAGAAATATGTCACCTGACATCCAATTGCTCATCTGGTTAAAGACCAGCATAAATTTCGTCGTTATAAATCTATCTTCAGTTTCTATATAAATAACTTTCCCGCCGCACCACTCGGTCACTGACCATCCATTTCGACGAGCAGCTGGTTCAGCGTGTTCTCCTGTTCGGAGGCGCCGCCGATGCTGCGACCGCCGCGCTTCCGACCCACAGCGTCAATCTCGTCGATGAACAGGATACAGGGCGCGTGCTTCCGCGCCTGTGCAAACATGTCGCGTACCTGGGAGGCAGAAGAGAGGTCAGAACAGGTCAGGTCACAACTCAGGTCACATTGACTCAGGAATCTGAGCTCTGAGACGTGATCAGAGGACGTGTTCTATTCAAAAGAACACTGCAGAACAGAGGGAACGTTATGTAAAATTTGAGAAAATTCGATAAAGGCAACTACCAAAGGACAGTGCTTCTTCTGCAGCGCTCGTCATAAGAATACTCATCGCGCAGACTTTAACATACAAAACACTGATGAAATTCCTAGCTACTTGCCCTGGAAGGGGGGGGGGGGGGGGTCCGCCCAAGCAGCCTGAAACTTACCCTGGAGGGTCCGACGCCGACGAACATCTCGAGGAACTCTGAGCCAGAGACGCTGATAAAGGGCACGGCAGCCTCGCCGGCGGTGGCCTTGGCCAGCAGCGTCTTACCCGTGCCAGGGGGGCCTGGAGACCAGATATAACGGGAGCAGGGGTTGGCGTCTGGTGTGGTGGGGTTGGGACGCCGGCTCTACGGAACTCATCTTCGAGAGACGCAATCAGTTAATAATAACATAGGCTGGTTAGACAGTATACAGTATTCTTAAGTCGTGTTTCCTCGATTATTAAAACGGAACCCGAACATAAAAACCTCGTAATAAATAAATATTTACGGCATTCGTGATTCGAGCACCTCGCAGAAATATAGCTACAAATTTGAATGGAATGAGTTATATGATATTTGTAGCTTGCATCTACATAATGCACAGACGCGAGCTCAGGAACCCAGAGCCACGGACCTGTGAGCATGGCTCCTTTGGGGATTTTCGCTCCCAGCGCCATATATTGCTGTGGGTGTTTCAGGAAGTTCACAAACTCCATAATTTCGATTTTGGCCTCCTCACAGCCGGCTACATCCCTGAAAATGGAGATAAAATACTCGTCGGTAACGGAATATAACGACTTAGCTCAAATATGATCAACATAATGGGTGGAGACTTCCATTTCGCGTCTAGCTAGACGCGTCTAAGTCTTAGAAGCGTCTAGCTGGACGCGGCTGCGTCTATCTGGCGACAGCTAACTTTAGCCGCGTCCAGCTTGGAAGTCTCCGTCCAACAGTTAGACGCCAAGTTAGACGCCAGCTTGGACGTCTGCTCAGTTAGACGCCAGTTGGACGCCAGTGGAAGTCTCCACCCAATATGAAGTATTACAAGATTATTTCACAAGTGCCTTGCAAATTCCAAGAAATGAATGAATCGGACGATGTTACGAATCAAAGACTCAAACAACAAAGCAAATATTATACTCTGTGATATTTGAAGTAGGTACAAATCAAATAAAAGTCCAGCATGGTTACTTCTGTTAAAAGTTACTTCTGTGCCGGAGCAGTCACCAATCACCACACATTCTGCCATCATCGTTCGCACCTGAACTTAACGCCGATCTCGTCCGGGTTGATGAGTTTGGCCGTCGACTCCATCACCCCGCCGAAGAGGCCGCCGCCGCGCTTCCCGCCCGGTCCCACGCCGCCGCCCATGACGCTCGCGCCGCGCCGGAACATGTAGATGGCGAACCCTGCCGATAGGTCGGGGGCGTCAGAACACGCGGAACGCGAGCCCGGCAGGAGTGAGACTCTTCTAACTAGTACACAAGTGTGTAGTACTCAGATCAAAGGGACGCCAAGGTTATATGGGAGATATGCAATCAACTCGATCATACAAATATCACATGATTAGGTTATGATGTGTGAGCATGTGTAAGCCGTCAAACTACGAATGCAGCTTGCCCGTCATTAGCTGATTTCCCTTACTAGGCGCTCAAACTTCAGCCGGACGACCGATCACCAACCGGTCCCGCCTTCATTTGTCCTCGCCTTTTTCGTTACCATGACAACCCAACCTCTCCCTATCATAAGACTCCCACCTCAAAACCTCACTACCTCCCGCAAACACAGGTCCCACGAACCTCTTCCCTTTCCCGCGCGCAGTCCCACACCCCCCGCCCCCCCCCTACTGACCGAGTATGAGCAGCGTTGGAAGGAAGCCGAGAACCCCGCTGGCCTCGAGCTCCTGTTTGTACACCACCGGCACGAAGCTGGGCGGCTCAATGCCCAGCTCTGTCTGCGCGTGCTCCAGGTTCCGCTCGAACGCGTCCACAGAGCCAATGTTGAACCAGAGCGTGGCCTGAACGGACACGGCGGGCGAGGGGTAAGAACAGGAGTACGTGCTGTTTATTTAGAGGAAGCTCGAGAAATTTGTGTGGAACATCACTTACGTAAGGGAAGACTGAGCTTGATAAAAAAGCTTTGATAAAAAATGTTTCGGTAAACGGTTTGACCGTAACAAAGTTGCAATGCATAAGCCGCATGGGTTGTATGGAGCTATTGAGAACTATCGGCCAAAAGCTTCTTTAATAATGATCAAAGGTTTCAGGCCATATCGCTTAATTTCACGTTTCATGAATGCATATTCAAGGCGGAAACACGACAAAACGAGAGAACAGAATATTTTCTGTTGTATACTCACGGCACCCTCGATGTTGTTGCCGGGCTGGAGGCGCACGCGCACCCACTTCTTGTTGACCACCTCCAGCTTGTCGACGACGCCGCGGCTCAGGTAGCTGCACCCCAGACAGGAGGGTGGAAACGTTAGACACAGGAGGGTGACAATGTTTCGTCGTCACCAGGAGAAAAAAGTCGTCATAGGCTGCATACGCTGCTGATGAAATAAAGGGAGGAAGCCGAGTAACTGAATCTAGATCAGCGTGATCACCCCCCCCCCTAATACCACGGTTACATAGCACACGGTGCGAGTCAAATATTGCGTAAAACGTCAAAATGGCGCACGCCGTTCACTTCGGAGCATCCCTCTATCCCAATGACGTATATTCACACGTACACCGCGCTTACGTCCATCAGTCACCGTTACCGCCTGCGTCCCGTAGATGCTAGCTAATGGTGTTCGGGCATATCGCGGTCTCGCGGCTCGCCCGGTGACCCCTCCCCTCCCACACCCCACCACTGACCTGTTGGAGAACTCCTTCCACGTGATCTCCTTGTAGCCGACGTCGTACATGGCGGCCAGTAGGCCGATGGCCGTGCAGCCGGCCACCACGTACAGCACCAGCCGGGCCTGGTCGCCGCCACCCGGGTCGCCCGGCTTACCGCCTCTGGCGGAGCGGCACGGCGGAGCGGTCAGCGGCGGGCAGAGGCGGAGACGGGACGGCCGGCCGACAGAGAACGAGAGCAAACGGAACGGAGGAAGTCTCGGCAGAATTTATGTCAGTCAACTTTTGTGAATGTCTCCTCAGGAGACTTTACCAAATTTAATAGATGAATAAATGAGCTCAATGATTAGAAGCTGATACTACCCATGCTTTCATTTAATTGCTTTGAAAAAAAAACACCACATGAAGCTTGAATATTAGAAACGACAAACATGCAGCACTCACTTCATGCCCGGTCCGCCAAAGTTGATTTTGAACGACCACATGGGGTCCTTGATCTGCTCCTTCCGAGGTGCGCCAGCGGCCCCACGGGACGGTTTGGGCGGCGGCGGCGGTGCCTTGGCCTTCCCCTCGGCCTCCTTGGCGCCATTCTTGGGTTTGAAGTACTTCTCGAATCCCTCGGGTGGCGGCTTACAGCGGCGCAGGCGGCCTCCGAGGAGCCCCTCTGCGCCGGAGGAGACCCAGGCCAACGTGCGCGCCGACAGACGGAGTGGCTGAGAGTAGATGAGCGGGAGGTCAGGGGAGATCGCAGCAAAACACGACAAACAGAGGGAGGGAGAAGGGAGAGCCGAGGGAAAGGGAGAGAGATGTAGCTGTATTCAGGTCTAATGCCAGTTGCCACTTTTCCAAACTAAAATAATGTATTCTTTCTTTTCATATTTTTAAGTAAGCAAATTCCTGTGAACTGGAGTTCCAGGGCCCAAATCCCAATCTTATCAACTGCCATGAATGCGCATTTACGGTACCTATTTGGTAACTATGGAACTATTCCACATTCACTTATTCATTCATTCAAGCAACATTTATCATCATTCACGCTATCAAAATCATTGGACAAGATTAGCTGGACGTAAATAAAAAGGATAACTTTGATCATTAGCAGGGCTGCGGAGTCGGAGTTGGAGTCGGAGTCGGTCGGAGTCGACAGTTGTGACCGGAGTCGGAGTCGGAGTTGATTTTAGAAACCCGAGCCGCAGTCGGAGTCGGAGTCACCGAAAATCTGTCGACTCCGCAGCCCTGCTAGGTCTGCGGAGTCGGAGTCGGGAGTTGGAGTCGGTCGGAGTCGACAATTCTGCCCGGAGTCGGAGTCGGAGCTGGTTTTTGAAAGCCGGAGTCGGAGTCCCCGAAAATCCATCAACTCTGCAGCCCTGATCATTAGCGGCAGAACACCTTCAATTAAGGGGGGCACTGCCGACTTTTGGCCCCATTCTTTCCATGCAACACCCATGGGGCTAATGTTAAAATGGCAGAATCAAGGGGGGCATGGTGCCCCCTCCCCCCGTTCCGCCGTCTATGTCTTTTATATCAGTGCCATAAACTCTGGCCAGTGCTGCCAAATCCTATTTACAGCATTGGTAAGATCAAGATTGGACCATGGATTATTATCCATGATTGGACCCTGGGCCCTGTTTGGTGGCTGTTTTTATATCAGTCTGCTGTCGGTTTTTCCCTTATAAGGAAGTTATTGCTGGCGCTTCTTGACCTCTCATTGGCCTAACGAATAGACCACTTGAATTCGACCAATGAGGAGCCAAGAAGTAGCAGCATGCTCGCAGCCTGCTGATAAATAAACAGGGGGCGAACAGAGCTCAGGAGTGTGCTAAAAAAGGCCTGTGTCCCTCATCACCAATATTTGTCTTCATGTGGCCTCGATTATGTTATTTACTTTCTATGTCTATTGCATCTTTGACCAACTGATCCGATACAAAGGATCAGATGTCATTTGTTTCAAATCTAAGCTAACCTTGACTACTTACTTACTTACTTACTTACGAAGTACAGAATTTGGATAGGCCAGACTAGGCCTTTAGAAACCTTTCTAGTCGAGCTCCTCGTGCGTCTGACTATTCATCTGCGTGAGGGATGTCGTGTGCATGGTGTGCCCAGTGAGCGTCAAGCCGGTTTTTGAATTGGTTCAGGGTGTCGGATGCGACGACCACTGACGGTAGGCTGTTCCAGTCGTTGATGACCCGGATGGAGAACGCGTTGCGCCGAATCCTGGAGACCGCTCGCGGCTTGGCTAGTCTCCATTGGTGTTCTCTTGTAGCAGGAGTTCTGTCGGCTGCCATCTCGAAGAAGTTGCGAGGGTCCATGTCAAGTCCACCGCGGAGCAGCTGATAAACCGCGATCATATCTCCACGCCTCCGTCTGTAGTACAGCGTTGGTAGCTGCAGCACTTTCAGACGCTCTCGATACGGGAGGTGTCGAAGATCGGGAACCAGCTTGGTCGCCCGCCTCTGCACCCGCTCTACCAGCCGCTGGTCCGCCCGGTTGAAGGGACCCCACACTAGGTTCCCGTACTCAAGGTGGGGTCGGACAAGGGCCTTGAGGAGCAGGGGGAGGGTTGATTTGTCAAGAAGGTGGAAGGACCGACGAATCACTGCCATCACTTGTGTTGCCTTCCTTACGGCCGCAGCAGCCTGCTTCCGGAATTTGAGCTGGGTATCCATGAGGACGCCAAGGTCTCTCTCGACATCCGACTCCGCGACTGTAGTTCCCCCCATCCGGTATGTGTGGTGCTGGTTGCCTCCGCCGATGTGGAGCACCTTGCACTTTCCAGGGTTGAATGCCAGCTGCCACCTGTCTGCCCAGTGAAGTGCCGCGTTCAGGTCCTCCTGCAGGGATGCCGAGTCGGACGGAGAGCAGATAGGTCTATAGAGTTTGCTGTCGTCGGCGAATATCTTTATCCCGCAGCTTAGCGGCTCCGGCAGGTCGTTCACGTACAGCGTGAAGAGCAGTGGAGCAAGGACTGAACCCTGTGGAACACCGCTGGAACTTGACTAAACAGGATGTTTGCCTGCTGCCAAAAGTTACTAAAAAGATAGAGGTGAGCGATATCATTTTGGTGATAAGGAGTATCTCTATAATTTTCTTACAAGTACCTGCTTATCATATGAAAGATAAAAAAGAAAACGATCAGCATCAACACTTTGAAATAGCACTCACCACTACAGTAGTATTGTCATATCTTGTAGGGACTGATCTTCCCAGTAAGCGGCATGTTCCTAATATCCTGTAAGCCATATCAAAATATACGATGTATTTTAAATGACCACCTAACTTGAGTTACATAACAACAATATTCTCAATCGCTCTGTCGTCAGAGAAAGTGCAGTATGTAAAAACAATGGAAGCGAATTTTTGGAAACGTAACATATGCGTCGTTTTTGTAGATAAATCAATGTGTTCGACAGCAGCTTCCTTGCTGTGTGCGAAAACAGCGCATTATTCGAAAGAAGTCGTTCGAATGCTGTGGTGTGATCTTAATTTGTACAACTAGGTATTATGTGCATCATAATTATGTATTGAAGATAGAAAATAGAGTCAAAATTGATGTGACAATAGTCTAGTTGCAAGTATTATGAGCCTTTTCACGCTCGAGTACCGAGTAATACTGACACATTTGTATTGTGTCACTTGCATTCCAGCGATGAAATCGGTCACTCTACGTTAGATTTGACTTGTTTCACACAGTCTTTCCTGAAATGGAAGCAAAATCTGTCAGCGGTTTGAACATGGTTTAAATTTTGACTTGATATGTAAACTTGTCAGCTGATAATAAACAAAATCGAGACATATTGATATATTTGCAAAACAAAACACTTAAATATATTTATGTAGAATAATTTCTTACTTCTTAAACTTAAACCATGACAGAATGGATGAGGAAATATTTCTTATATTTGTATCAAAATGCTTTACTTGTAAAGATATTTGTCGAAATAAGCGAAAACCACCGATCAAACATCTATCAGCTGACGAGTCTTCTAGGTCACGTGACCAGTCATTTCTCTTTCAGAAGCGAGCAGAAAACACAACGCTGGGGCAAGTGGATGAGTGCGAAGTCAAAGTGCGATTGAATGAAAGTGGATCGAGAAGTTGGTTAGAGAACTTATACGGCCTTGGGTTAGAGTGTGATAATATACCCTGAGTGTGATTGGATATTTCAATTATTTGTTCATTTTGTTTTTGTGAAGGAGCGGAGTTCTCGTGGCATCCCAATAAGGTATGACTTTTTGTATGTCTGTTTGCCTTATCTCTTTTCCCCTGGGCGTGGTGGAAACCGTTACAAGGGCAATTTCAGTTGGTGACATACCAGGGAAATAAGCTAAAATTAGAGCGCTCTATTTATTGCTCCTGCCCCATGTTGAAGAGATACCCCTAAAAGCGTGATCTTTTATCGGCCCTTACGCAGCAAGGCAGTAATTCTCAGACCGGTGGATGGTATCAATAGAAAGAGAATGCATCAAAGATTAACATGAATTAATAAAAATAACATTAAAATGTTAATTAAGCGTGGAAATTAGTCCCAAACATAAGCTAATTATTGCTCCTACCTCGGCGACGGCGCTCCCCGCAGTCAGCGGAGAAGCTAAAATAAAAGCCACCATCCTCCTCCGTAAGTCAATTTTAGAGCGGCCGAGTGGGCCGATGCGGGGCCACCAAACTGAGGTGAGACGCGGCTAGCAATTGCAAACCGCCATAGAAATCAATACGTACAATATGGGATGATTACTCTGAAGCTGGAGTGAAGGCATGAGTAGATTGCAAGAAACGAAATGCATAGATTGGTTGAATTATGTACAATAGGCACAGCTCAGATGAAGCCATTTCTATGATGTTGACATATGACATAACCCTTCCTCTCCTCACCTATGACCTAAGTGCATTGGCAGTTACCGGCATAGTTTTTGAGCACGAGTGTAATTCGCCATCGGGCCGCAATGCATGTTGCTAGGCTGCTGCAATTACAACGAACATACGAATACTGCCTTCATTTGTAGACGTTTGTTTTTTTAGGCGGTCTTTGACGTGCAAGGGGGCATACCTGTCGACAACATGAGTTTCTCCGAATTTCAAAAACTCCCAGAATTTCAATTCCTTATGCACTGTTGTAGGTACAGCTATGTTCACAAGTTTTCGTTTCCTCCTGTTCTAGAAAGGATGATATTTGTCGATTTCGTGCGTCGCTGATAGGAGGGTGCGTTTAATAATTAGGCCCAACGCTTTCTGCATCCGCGAGTACCTTCAAAAGGGAACAACAGTTTCCATTTATTACACTATGGGACATGTGACAAAATGACAACTGGAACACGCATGAAACGGAGCTCATATCCCTAAAAATGTCTACAATCACTTCTTTTCTGACACTATTAGCAAATACCATCTCAAGTTGGGTGGTTGACAGACAGTCAATGGAGATCTGGGGAGACTGAGTGATGCCAATTCACCACTTAACTGATAATGAGGGCCGAGGGAAGAGAAACATGCAACATGCACAACTGACAACTTGACAAGTGACAAAACACTACCACTATTGCGCAGTGCACAACAAATTACAGCAGCTAGCCCAAAAAATGCTTTTGGTGGCTAATTGCAAAACGAGTCACTAATAAATGTCTTAGTTGCAGCTGAACACTGCACAATAATCACACTGTTCACACATTGAGTGAGATGCCACAGGTGGTTTGAATCACACTTTGATTCAACTGCAAATCTGAAGTGTTGTCATGAGGTTCATGCCTCCATGATCACAGCACTTTGGTTGTGGTTGGCATAACACTTGTAGTCTGCAGAGTTCCACATGAACTGCAGACACCTCATCTGGTGGTCTTCATGTTGCTCAACTTCTTCAGGAGGCAAATGTCGACCACCCAGCGGAAGCATGGTCCTGCAGAAAAGAAAGGTAATGCATAAGGTACAAACATTATCTGCTGAAACAGCCCCTTCAATTGGCTGTTATTAAACTTTTAACATAACATAACAACATGTATTCCATGTATATTACATTTGTTGAAGTAAAATACTGCTGGCTATTTCAAAACCAGAAAATGTAATTATATTGTGGCATAATTCACATGCTCAGCTATCAGTATCAAATAATAATTAATTTAATATTTGGCATATTCTATATAACACATTCATGGAATATTCTACTTCACGTCACAAGGACTCACAATCTTTCTGTTGGGTGTTTGATTGACGCATTAACTAAGTTTGTCTTAGGTTTTCTTATTGCAAAAAAAATCATATTGCATTATTGTATCAAAATACTGCCAGCAATAACAAAACAAGAACATGAAATGTCAATGAGCAATCCGCCTTTCCTAAAAAGGGATTACTTTGAAAGGAATTTTAGTTTCTTTTCAGGAAAAGGAGAAATGATTATCAGGTAATTATCAGAAAACCACTCAACCAGCAAGTGGCTGGGTGGTTTCACAGCAAACATCAAGCCAAAACATATACTTACATTTATCTAACAATTGAGCCATTTGACTACTACAAGGATATGTGAGCAAAATAAGAATCCAATTATCCTATGTTGACTTCCTTGCAAAGTTTATGCCTTATTTTATGAAAACGTGTCACTAGAATATGATACTTATCATCGAATATTATTTAATTTACGATTTATTTCGATCGGAATGCACATGGAGTCCCGCGCCATTTTCGTCGACGATGAATATGATCGTGTTTCATGAAGAGATAAGGGGTTTCAATGGTCTTTCAAAGCAATAATTTGATGCAAAAATTTGTAGGAAATAATATAAAGCTGGTTCAAATGGCCATCAACCATTTAAAACACCGAAAATACTCACAACTCCGTCCCGACGACCACGCAGCGCCGCGCACGCCACACTACTGGCACAATGCCAAAACTGCTGTCACAGCGGAAATGTTTTTTTTCTCGATTGCAATTGTGGAATTATTTATTAAACAGAAGATGATCTTTCCGAAAAACCGACTGATTTCATACACAGATGCATGGAAAATAAAAAAATCCCGGTAAGTTTATTTGTATTGTTTTGTCGATTTTGACATGCTCCTAGTTTGCAGCCATATTTCGATATGTTCTACAGGGAGTTCAGAATTATTTCAGGACCAATCTTTTCCTCATTCATTTTCCCGTCGATCATGAAATTTTTAGAGCGGAACAATTAGTTTCCAGGCGGTCCGAGCGGTTTTCGTGAGAAGGGTGCAAAAATCGGCGTCATTTTTAGAGCCTCGACACCAGCTCAACACAGGACCCTATGGGAGACGGTGAAGTAGCGGGAGCAATAAATAGAGCGCTCTTATTTTAGCTTATTTCCCTGGTGTGTCACCGACTGATTTCAAACTTCGTGTGACATTTGGATTGTTTTTGTTTATTGCAGTTAGTTTTCAAAGATCAGTGCTGCTTAAAAAGGGAAAACAAAATAAATACTGTAATGGAGATGCTGTTAAAAGTATGGGATGTGAAGTTAATTTAGGAAAGAGGGTGTCGGTGTGTGCTTGGTATAGGTCTTTAGGTTTTTATCAAACCAGGAATTTATATATGACTCAGTTTTTTGTCCATTTCAGCTGGCTGGACAGTCAGGGAGCCAGCCAACTTGTTTCCCCACTCTGCGCCCTGCGGTCATGGATGACGTGTTCGGCGCAGTCAAACTGGGCGTCAATGTGGACATCCAGCGCAGTGACGGTAGGTGCAGTGGGGTCATGCCTTTGATGTGATGGGCTGATGTAGCATGACACTGACATGTGGCCTGCGACACTGGTGCAGGGAATGTTGTAAATGTTGAAGTGATATGATATTAAGACTGTATGAGATTGGTTATGTGAATTGTCTGGGTACACTTACCAATGTCATCCTATTTCAATTACTCACATTCAATCCAGAATGATTCGAGGCAAAATGGCCAATGGGCCAAGTCTGTGTCTTCAGCACTTCCAACCAGTGAAATATTTCTTTTGCACCCTAGGATCAAAATTGAATATAAACCACACCATATTGTCACAATTTACAAGCCATGTATCAACCTAGAAAATTGTTCAAACAATCATTTAATGCCTAAAAATCAGGTACACTATAATTTATAAGCAAAAACAACAAAACCTAATCTAGCTTGGCCTAGACTTACCTAACATCACATAAAATTACCTGACCCAACATGTGGTTGGGTGTCTTATCAATGTTTTGTGTAAAAACTAAAAAGTATTATAAAAATTGTTATGTGGTTTGACTTTTCAACCTAAGAAGGGTGTGTTTTTTCTATTCACATTTTTGTGTTGTGAATTTCTTTAGTTTTTAAGGGGTGCAAAATGAGGAAATCACTGTTTTGTTAGAGCATTTTAACTTTAACTATTTGCAATACTTTGAGCTTTTTTAAGGACTGTTATAGCAAACTAAACATACAGAAATATATTTTTCAAATTAAATTTTCACACCATGCTTTTCCTTATTCAATGATCAACCTGTTTGAGACTCAAACCCACCTATGCTTACATGGCTGCCTTTTTCAGTCATGCATAGGCAGATTCAGAAAGGTGCTCTTGTACACTTGGGGGGGGGGCATGTCCCTGAAAAAGCATCTCCAAGTTTAAAAAAACACCTTGGATTTATATTCCTTATGCTCTGCTCCGCAGTTTAAAACAAGTTTTCCTCCTAAAAAATGGTTAAGTTTTCTCTCTTCCAGAAAAATAACAATTTTCATTACTTAGGCAGCCGTTAGGAGAGCGTTTGCCCCAAACGCCCTCCGCCCCCCGGATCCGCCGGTATGGTCGCGCGGGTTCGTCGGTGACCGTCGCTCATTAATTAGTGTCGTAGTGTCAGCGGCGCGCTGCCGTCATCGGTCACACCGCCGTGACCGGTCGATGGCCGGTCACGAGCGGCCGCCGGTCCGACAGCCGGCGGAGGGGGCCACTGAGGGGGGATCGGGGGGCTGATTTAACGGCATGTGCAGGAGAGAAGGCGATGGGTAATGGGAAGGACCGTGGTAGTAGTTTTGGTGCGACGTGTACATGGCTGGCGTGTAGTGTTTTCGATATGCAGAACACCAAGCGGTTGTGGGTTGATGAAAGCGGCGAGCACATTTTTTATTTGTTATGAAGCGTTATGCAATAGGTACTTTGGGTATACTTACGACTTTCTGCGTTCGGCTTCGTTGTGACTGCCCCAATCTATTGATATGATTGCATTTTGCTTGTAACCAAACTTCATTATGTACAGTACAAATACGTGCAGTACAAATATGTATAGTACCTACAGTACAAATATGCTGACGATCTAAATTCCAGTTTATTTCCTTCATTAAGTACATCACATTTCATTGCAAGAAAACTCCTTTCCTTCTATTTTAAGCGGCAACCCAAAAGTGCGGCTCGTGTCATGATAATTATCCTCCCATCGTGCAACCACTCAGCCCCGCTCGGCCCTACAAACCAGAGCTATGGAATTCGAGCTTCTTTTAATGTAATTTAATATGCATGACCTTGCTGCATAATTGATGGGAGGTGGAGGGAGAGACACTTAACGCTTCTTTCACCAACTTCCATTGTTCAAACCGTATGAAATATTTGTGTAATCTTGGCGTTATGGTTATGGTCTGGAATGTCTCATGGTTCCCTTGTCACCCGTATTTCCACTGCCGCATTTGCGACGTACTTTAAGTTGAAACTTGAATGTGTGTTGCACATTTTTGGCTCCTACGGCTACCGCAAATTGTAGTCCAACATTTCTCTGGCCCACAACCAGCATGTGAAGCACACTTTACTTAATCGCTATAAATGTGGTCGTAAGCTGGTCTAATGAGGGCTTCCCGTGAAGTTCTATGTGCACTGTGCACTGTGCAGGCCTGCCCCCCCCCCCCTTGTGCAGTGCCAGTATCGCCCTCGGTACCCCTTCCCCTCCCCACCGGGGCGGCGGCGGTTGTGGAGCCTGCGCCGTCCGGCCTGCTAGGGTCTCACGGGACCGCTGCCGTCGCCGCTTTGGTCCCGAATAACAAGCCGTGGTGGTGCAGTGCAGGCTACATGATAGCGTTTGGGACCGTTTGAAGAAAGGCTCGATGACCGTGTGATGCCCTTGGGATCTAATGGTCTTTGAGCTTCTTTCTGAATGTTGCGGGAACGTTCATGAGTTGATGTTCATGATGAAAGTTCAAGGTCACTTGGGTGTGTAACATAATAACTAAATAATGCGAACAATATTCGACTTCCCTCATCTGTAGCTTACCGTTCTGGCATATCAACAAAACATAGCGCACCACAATTGCAGCAGCTCAGTCAGTGTCAGCCTCAGTCGCGGCCTCGGCGTCGATCGTGGCATGGCTGTGTGTCGTGCACGTGGCATTAGAAACGTGACGTTCTAACGTAGCGTGCCTACACAACGTCCCTTGTATAACGCGTGGCGTGACATAATGTTACGGACGTGACGCCAGTGGGAGACGAAGTCGCTTGCGTTTTTTTCCTGGAGTGGGATTGGTGATTTTTGTTATATATTGGTGGCGGCTGTGTTTTGTACTGTCCGATCTAGAAATATGAGGTCAGAAGTATGCTCAGCGCTAATTCATGAACAAAAGTCATGAGGTGACACATCTTACGCTACTGCCGTACTTCATCCAGGCGGATCATGCGAGCATTGTTGCTAGCAATCCAAAGGTATGTTGAGTGCTGGAGAGCGGTGGTCCGGATCGAGTGCTATAGTGTATTGGGCACGCCAGGCTATGGCTGTGGCCTGACGGGCGGTGACGGTGAGCGGACCAGTATAGCGTTCTCTCGGTGAGCGGTGGGTGGAGATGGATGGTGGGCTGGATCAGAGCGGGGCGATACATTCCAGGGCGGTGGCTGGGCCGTTGTTCGGCGCGGTGTGGACGATGGTCAGTGGCCGCCGGCTCGGCGCGCGATCCCAGCGGCCCTCTGGGATCGATGTCGGACCGCCGCGCCGCCCCGTCCGCCGCTCCGACCTTGCCACCAGTGCCGAGGTCACGGCGCCGCTGGGACGGCCCGATGGCGTCCGACCACCTGCGGACACCGCCGGACGCCAGAGCTCGCGGCGCCTGCCTCGTGGATCGTATCCCGTGCCCAGCAGCTCGTGGGACTTGTAGCTCATAGCTCCGTCCTCTGGAGCTAAGGTCCGAGGCTCATGGGCACATGGTTCATGACCTGTGGTCCGCTGCTGGTGGCTGTATATTCTAAGGTCATGTGTTTTGCGGTTTGCAACACGTGGCACATGGTGTACGGCTCGTGACCCGTGCACAGTAGTCTGTCATATTCAGCATGGATTCGAGACCCGTGGCCGTGGCCTGCGTCTCGGTGCGCGGCCCGGGGATCGTGACTGAGGTGACACACACCCCCGCTGGAGGTGTCAAAAGGTCACGTGGGAGGCCAGCGTGAATGGCGTGGGCCGCGCGGGCACTGAGGAACGCTCTCAGGGAGATGGTGCGGGATCGAGGCCGGTGTTTTTATCTGTACGAGAGGGGGTGTTGCGTCAAGGTTTTCATTTTGTTGGGCGTGAGCACGGTGTATTTGATGGATCATGATTTGTGATCGTTTGACTGTTGTTTCCTGACGGGCGGATACCCGTCTTTTGACGGCCAAATTATGGTCAACTGGCTCAACTTGTTGATGGAGCTCCTGTGACAGGTGGGGTTTGGTGGCTCGGATCTCCCGCTCGTCTCAGCTCAGCCGCCGAGGTCCTCGGTTGATCGGTGTCTGTTCACCTGGGACCGCGCCGGCCGCCGTCCCCGTCTGACTCTGTGACGGCCCGACTGGTGTGCCGCGTGGGCCGCCGCACGGCCATATAAGGTCTCCACCGGCACTGACACACCGGAGCGCCGGGCGGAGCCGTGCCGCGCCGCGCGCGCTTCCCACGCGCCCGTCTGCCCGGCCGGCGGCTGATGCCGGTCTCGGCGGCGGCCGCCGCGCCGTGCCGGACCGGCCGGCAAAGCTCCGAAGGCTGACCGGTGCCGCGGCGGCTGACCCAGTTTGCAGGCCCGTGACGGCCGGTAGTCGCCGTCACCGGAGCAGGTGGCCGCGCGAGGCCGCACTTCTTCCTGTCCTGAGAGGGGTGGCTCCAACTCAGCCGGTGACGCGTATCATGCATAGAAGAGGAAAGAATGGGGAAATGATGCGGGTCGGTGATCAGTTTTTCCCTTTGCTTCATTCGTCGATGCCTGTGATTATGGTGGGAGGAAATTAGAGTCAGTCCCGTTGTATGTGCTGTTATGTAATTAAGCCAACTTTGTCGGGTAACATGTTCACGCCAAATGTTCTTAACCCACCTTGCTCGTCAGGCCACATTAACTTGTGGAATGTCTTGAAATATACGTTGTTTATGCAATTATTGATCAATCTATCGATTACTGTGCAAGTGATCATGTTTCCCGTTACGGAGTTGCGCAATATCGCGATGTTATCATTCGCTCCATTAATTGTATCGGAACTCGCCAATGCGACTCCCATTTAGGCGGTCAGCGGTCCGGTTAGTCAACGTCCGGTCCCGTGTCGGTACGACCCTTGCCTGTTCATGGTCTGCTCTGCAGTGGTCCGGCCCGCCCATAGTCTAGTGACTGGTCTGTGAGTGGCCTGGTCTGTCCATGGTCTGGTCTGTCAATGCTCTGGTCTGTCCATGGCCTGGTCCGCCCGCCTACAACAGCCTCTGTTCGACTGTCGGCCACGCGGCCGGCAGATGCATGCCGATCGTTTGCCGACTCGGCCAAACAAACAGCGTCGGCCGCGTCGGCGTCGGCGGGCGCGTTACATCATCGCCCCCTGGTGTGCCGACGGCGGCGCGTGCCCGCCGTCAGCACCGCGGGTCGCGGCTGGTAAACAGACGGCCGATCGGCGGCCCGGCGTCCCATTCATCGGCTCGGCGCGGGCTCACATTGCAGCGGGCCGCTCCGCAGAGCGAGGTGGGGTGTTAGGTCAGAGGATATTGCGTGATGTGAGTGATGAACTGATAATCGATGTCTGTCTTGGAGGCCGTTTGAAAGTTTGTGTACACGTTTAGCACGTGTTAATGGACGCGTTTTTTTCTGCTATGCCCGCCACTCAGCTCAGGAGATCGATGGATGCGAGTCCTAGGTCCCGCCGTCTTTGGTAGACCGTTTTGTAATCTTCCAAGTTCAGATGCCTTTTTTTGACGCTGCGGAATTTTATGATACATTTGGAATTGCATGTGATACAAGAACCAGATGCATTGTAACCGCCACGTTACACAATTACTAATGTATTTGAAACATTAACGACTTTTTGAACCATACTATTGTGTTGAACTGCATTCACGTTCGTGCTTCAAGTATCCGTGACCTTGTATGACTTCCCGTTTGTGTATGTATGTATTTTTTTTTTTTGAATTTACCTTGTGCTCTCGCCTTCACCATCTGTTACCCGTTGCGCCCGGGCTCAGTACGTGTTACCGTCGTGACTCGGCTGACCTGACCAGTGACCGGTGACCTCTCTGTCTGTCGTCAGGTCGCATCCACTCGGCGGTGGTGGCCTGCGTTAACGCTGACGCCAGGACGGTGACGGTCGAGTGGTTCGAGCGAGGGGAGACCAAGGGAAAGGAGGTGAGCTTGCACCTACAGATGCACTTCCGCCCGGCGGAAACCGACATTTAGCCATCTTCGTTGGGCTCCGTGACTGGCATTGGCGAAGTTACTTATAACGTTTCCGCTGCCATTTTTGAAGCCATGCACTTCCGTAGTGTTGCATTGTGCTTCCTTTGTCTCACTGAAGTTCCGTTCCCACGCATGGCTTTTGATGCAATTATTAGCTCTAATGTCCACATACTATTGCTAAGGCCCCCGTATGTACATTCTACAAAGCATGCATCAAGTCTACACGCGTCTACCTGTGTGCACGCGGTCCAGTGCACCCACCGGTGCGTCGGTGCTGCCTCGGTGCACGCGTGCGCTGGCGGTGCACCGCGGTGTATGTCTGTGCACCGTCGTGTGCGCCGGTTCGTGCGCGAATCGCGTGACGGGAAGGAGCTCGCCAAGCCTCCTGAGCTCGGTAGGTACGGCCGTGAGTCTGTGTGCCGGTCGGGACTGACAGGGATAGAGTCGTCTGGATATACTGCTCCTCGGCCGCCCTACATCCCCAATATGTCTACCACTGCCTCTCTCGTTCATCTGTGTCCCCATCTCCGTGCCTCCGCAATCTGTGCTGACGGGGCAGTCCGAGGGCTCAGCTCATGAGCTCTGCTGAGCTGCTGGACTGAGCTGGGCTAAGTCGAGCGGGGTGATTTGGCTGAGTGGGGCTCTGGATGGGCATGGAGTTCTGCCCTTCCCCGCGGTACCGTCCCTTTGCGGCGCCGCGCTGCTGAATTTATACACGCCTCTGTTTGTCAATGATGGAGGTTTAAATTTGTTTTCCACACTTGCCCTGTGATTTATGAGGGGGCTAATTGACCGTGCAAGGACGGACCCTTAGACCACGGACAAACATAAAGAGAAACGGGCGATTAGGCGCTTACTGGAGGGAAGAGTGTCCGCTGGCCCCTGCCCTTGTCAGCTATGGCCATCTGACCTCCGACTGACCCCTAGCGCCCCACCCCTACTGGGCGCCCCGGCCCCGCTGCCGCCCCCGCCCGCCGTCACGATTGATCCAGAGTCCAGACAGAGCTTTGGGGGCGGGCGAAAACGCTTCTAGACAGTCGTGCACGAGATCTGCCCACCGCCGCTTCTTTGGAGCTTCGGGTTACAAAGCCCTGAAAGCCCTGAGTGTGGAAGCCACTCATGGTGTTTATTGGAGCTGTCTAGAATATGCCCTTTTAACTACTCTTCTAAATGTATTGACATAATATTTTGATATCATCCAAACAGTCTTCTTTTTCCCTATGATCATCCTCTTTTTGTCCTTGTGAAATACATGATCTATTAGTTCAACCGTCTTTTTCACTTCGTCTATCCGTCCTTTTCCATCCACCATTGCTGACTCGCTGTTCTGCTGCCGTGTTTTCAGATCGAGGTGGAGCTCATCTTCCACCTGAACCCGAACCTGGCGCCGTCAGAACCGCAGTCAGTCATTCCCTCCAAACTCAGTCGGGTGAGTGACCTGTCCGCGCCGCGCTGCCTTCAGTTTCGTCACCGGTGCGTCAGGAATGGCGACGCGCAGATCTGACGACGCTGCGGTCTGCGTCAGCGCGTGGTTGTCGTTCTGAATGTGTGAATGTCCCCGAACAGCTGTCTGTTCGTATATGACTACTGGGAGTCACGCTATGCTGATTGTTGGGCTTTGTCTGTCTGTGTCTCAGTGGATTCCGCTATCGGTGATCGCCGGCCTTGTTCCGGTTCAGAAACTCCCCCGGCAACTTCCCTGTGCTCATTTCCGTAACGCGTCTGCTGAACTCGTCCCGTCTGTGTTTTCTGTCCTGTCCGCCTTGTTACGCCGTACTGTCCGTTTGTGTTCGTCGTTTTGTTTCTGTTCGCTGTCCTGTTTCTGTTCGCTATCCTGCCCGTTTGTGTTCGTCGTCTCGTCCGTGTCCGTGATCCCTCCTCATCTGCACTGCCGTACAATTCACGACAATCCGTCTGTTGTCGAGCGGTCGTCTCCCCTCGCTCCGACCAGCCGACCGTCCGCTCCTGCCGGTATGCGGTCATCACTCCGAGCCGCGCCGTGACGCCCGTCACGTGACGTGACGCTCCGTCACGTCAGCGCGGCGTCACGGGCGCTGGCCGCCAGCCGCGGGGCGGGGCGGGGAGGGCGACCACCTGGTGCCGATGGAAGAGCGACCCACGGCAGATTTGTTAGAATATTGGCAACTCACATTGGCTGTGAACGGCTGAGTGGTCAGCTGGTTCGCATCGCTGCTATCGGGGCTTCCTCAGCCGTCTGAGACGCTGGAGTTGGCTCCACTGACCGGGCCCCTGTGGCCGGCGGCCGGCGCGGGGGAGGAGGAGGCGCCGGTGACTCAAGACTGGCTATGAGTCACCGGCGGCCGGCCGCGGTCACCGCCTGCCCGGACGGGCGGACGGGCGGCGGTGGTAGCAAGGACGCCCCGGCAGCGGCGGCGGTGCCGATCGGATCAGCTGACTGAGGCGGGGAGCTCGGTTGGGCGGCTGAGCTTCACACCGCTCTGGGCTGCGGTCGATGCGGCGGCCGAGGGACGGGAGGGGAGGGGAGACATAGGGAAACAGGAGAGGTTTTCGCGTGGGAAGGGCGTTTACAGCGGTGTGCTGTAGCCAATTATTATCCTTGTGATACTCAGCTGGTGTATGCTGAGCTTCCAGCCGATCATGACCAAGTCGGTTCGTTCCTCGCTGCTCCTGTCACACACACATTATCAATATCCGCAGTCGCTGTGCTGTATCCTGTCCCCAGCCGAGTGGCATGGTTTCTCTCATCCCTGGGGTCCGCCGCTGTGGCGACTGCTCGGCTGTGTATCCCCCATTACCGGTCCGGTGCGGGTGCCCCGCTCCAGTGGAGTTGGACGGACACGGCTGGATGCCCCTCCAAACAGCGAGGGTGGTGCCGCCAGTCCGTCTGTCTGCTGCTGTCCGCTGCCCCTCCTTCCTGCTATCACGTCCTCCGTCGCCCTAAGTGTAGCTCTATCTCTTGCCGCCTGCCCACTGTTCTGGCGGCTGCCCTGTCGACTGCGCTGTTCGCTGCGCTGTGTGTTCGCTGCCCACGGCCGCCGCTCCAGCTATCACCTCCGGCCCGCCGCGCCGGCAGCCGGCGGTGACAGCGGCGGCACACGTGCGGCAGATCCGACGCGCCGAACTGTCGTCGGCTGTCCGGGTAGGGTGGTCGCGGCGCCTCTGACGGAGCCATCAGCGTGACAGGGACGGGAGAGATACGTGCCTCCGGCTGCGTTATGATACTGTGATTACGTGGTGAAGCTAGTAGATAGCTGATAGCTCGGTGATGAGATTTGTGTATCAGGCTGGCTCTGTGCACCACAGTGCACTGCTTGATAATGCTCAAACGTAATTCGGCGATGAGTGTAAAAAACAAACACTGAGACAATTAGTTCTGGCCTCTCAGAACCTGCAGAGTTCAGGGTTGGCCGCGCTGAGTGTTGCGTGATTCCCCTGACGCACAGCCTACTGACCTTGGTGAGCACTGAGCAGTGCGTGCGCCTCAGACCCGGCGGCTCGGCTCTGCCCTGTCTGCCCGTGGTGGAGGCGATAGCTGCCGGAAGCGGTTCGTCCCTGATTGGACCGCGGCGGTGGCGAGCCGTATATGGATGTGCGCAGAATGGAGGGCGGTGACGCTGTGCCTGGAACAGCGCGAGATGTTGACGGTAGCGGTCGGCGTGATCGAGAAATGAGGATTTCGTGAGATTTGATGGGCCATTCTTATAAAGAAAAGAACGGAGGGACGCTCCGTCATTTCTGAGATTAGACGGAATTTGGTTATCATAAAAGGACGAAGACGAAAGACGGAACCCGTTAAAAGAACGAAGCCAGATTGACGTTACCCCCACCCAAAAGGACGCGTTTCCGTATCATAAAGAGACAAAGACGCCTCTGGTGACGTAAGACTTTGCGTTGTTCGTGAAAAATAACGCATCAGAAATAGCGCTGCTCTTCAGCAGCGCTTTTTTACGGCATTGATACGATATTTAGCTGGTTGCGAGAGCAACTTGTGCGAAATGTGTTTCAGGCTGCATGCTAATCGATATGTGAACTGTATGACATTGGTCGGGAGTTATTTCACACGAAAATTAGTCAATTTGACATGCAGACCAAGTACCTATAGACCGCCACCTTATCGTTCTGCAGCTATCGTTGTTTATCGGGCATACACATAAACAGGCAGGATTGGACACCTTGAGATGCAATATCCAGTAAGTGGTAGGTGTTTACTGTTTGCAACTGCCTCCCAGTAGCTCCACCCTCACCTGGCCTGTGTCCTGTGTCCTCTGGCGCCTCGACTGGTATCACGGTTGGAGGTCTGAGTCACGTGGCACTACAACTTCTCGTTAGCACTTAAAGTTCTTGTTTGCACGAAGAGAAATTCGTATACACTCCTCCACGCTAAAGCGCTCACGCTGGACTGTCCTCGCTGTCCCCACACAGAGAAGATCCACGGGCCATTTCTTCCCCCGCTCCCCCTCCCCCCTCTTTAGCGTCAGCTCGTCAAAACAACACCTGCGCCCCCCGTCTCTCTCTCTCTCTCTCTCTACCTACTCCTTCCCTCTCTCCCTCCCTTTCATCCCGAGCCGCCGCGCGCCGCGTCGTCCCCTAGAGCGATAAGATGCCTTATCAGTATCCCCTCCTCTTTTATCTCTACCGCTTGTCCCGAGCCGCCACGCTAACTCAGGGTGTCTGCGTTGTTCCCTTCCCGCTTATTAGACATCCTATCACCAGGGGTGTCGTTTTCCGAAAATGATTGGTAGTGCCCAAAGGCGGCGGCTGGCCATATATGACGGGGCTTACAAGGTAGGGTACCCCCAAATCTGCCTTTCTCATCGGATTTCGGCCACTTATTTTTCGCCCTGGTCATTGACAAGACTAACCGAAATCTAAAAAAACACAAAAAAAACTTTGGAAATCTGGGTCCACACCGGACGCCATGCACAAAACGTGCAGTTATATAGGCAATAGTGTCGGAGGAATGCACGCCATTCTGAAAGAGGCCCACATCGACTTAAAAGGACGGCTGTGCTGAAAGGGGACAGGAACAGCTTTGAGGGCCCAAGCCGACTAAAAAAGACGGCTGCGGGGCCAGGAACGGTTTTGAAGACCCACGCCAATTGAAGGGTTCGACAACTAACGAGGACTGGAAACACAACGATAGTTAGAAAGACCTGCTTGCCAAAATAAAAGGATGACAGTACGAGGGGCGTTCAGAAAGCTACGGGCCCGACCATGAAGGAGCAGAGAGATACAGCATCGACTCATTAGACCAAAAAGTTCATTTATTCAAATAAACACCGTTAACCCGCGCCCCAGTGGCGGTCTCGGCCAACTTCGCCCTAGTGAGGGGGGGCATATGTTACCACACACCTCTAACTCAAAAACTAAGAGGGCTAGAAAGACGCGGTAAAAAGCAGTCGATAGTTCTCAATACGTACGTTTGAAAGTATTTCGGTCATTTTCACCTTAGAGCAATATTGGGGTCACCAGAGGTCATCAAAGGTCAAAATTTGCCAATTGTCATTATATTTTTCAGAAAACATGCCGTTATCTCAGGAACTATGGTAGCTAGAAAAACGCATGGAAAAGCAATCGATAGCTTTTGAACTCTTCTTTTGAAAAAGTCATTATCAATATTGTCCCCAGGTCAACGGTTTAGCCTCCAGAGGGCAAAAACTCCCAAAATAGCTGTTTTTACGAAAAGTGTTTTTCGACAATAACTTTCGACCTACAAAAAGCCACGACATTTCTATTGCCAGAATCGTGTTCCCCTCACCGAGACGCGTCGAATGAACTATAATTTGACCTTGAAAGGTCAACTTGAAAATTTGACCTCAGGTCAAGGTCATGACCTGAGCGGAAAAGGTCATGTTGCATATCAGTCGATGCGTCTCAACAAGACAAACACTCCCCAATGAGACCATCCCCAGCGTTCTATCGCTTTCCAATCGCGAGTTATTGGCAAAAAACTGTTTGTAGCCTCAAATGACCTCGGATGACCTTTCTAGAGGCTATCAGCAAAAATGACACCTTGGTCATCACGAGTGGACTAAATCATTGTGATTCTGAAATAGTTGGACTGTTCCTATGCGTACACACGGATCTAGAGGCATTTTCATTTTTCTCCATTGACTTGTAATGGAAAGGTCATGCCACTGACCTGACCTTAGGTCACGGATATAAAAAATCCGAGATATACAAATTGTAGGCTTCCATAACAGCATGCAATCCACCAAGTTTAAAACCTTTCTGACAAACACTGCAGGCTGGACATGATTGCAAACTTTTTTTAAGGCTTGGTCAGTTAACTTGACCTGGTGACCTGACCTGACATGACCTGGGGTAAAAAATTTCACACATTGTCCAAAATTGATGTACCAAAAGCTACCCCAAGCGGCGCGGCGCTACGCGCCGCGGTTTTTTATTCACACGCGAAAAACGCGACAGGGTGGTAACATATGCCCCCCCCCCACTGGGGCGAAGGTTAAGACAAACACATTTCGCGCAGCGCTTCGCGAGAGCCCTCAAGGCCTCCATAACCAAGTGGGTTTTGGACCCATCCTGCACGTCCAAGACGGCTGATTTCGTCTCCCTGCTGTTAGCGAGGTTGCCGCTGCTAATTTTCTTATGTTGGGGAAGAGGTGGCAACCACTAACCAGAGTGTGCAAGGTTCGGAGAGAAAAAGTGGATGCGACAACAACTCGAAGCTCATCGCTTCACTGTTCGTCATCCCGCCCATGTACGCAGGTGCGTGGTCGCGGATCAGGTGCACACTTTACGTCAGCTTCCCTATAGCCTCTCCTCGATGTTCGATGTTTATCGAATGGACGCACATCATCAATTGTGTGCCCCTGTTTTGGAAAGTTGACGAGCGGAGGGGGGTCGCATCGACCCCTCCCCCTGCCAGGCCGTGTTATGAAAAATGCCCAGGGCGAGGGTTAACCCTCGCACGACCAGGCCATTTCTCATAACACGAACGACCAGGGGGGGGGGGGGTTGTTACGACCCCCCCCCTGGCGTTTCGAAACGGAAGGTCGTAGAGCTTAGCGGAAAAAACCAACGGATTGCTCTCAACGAGATCTCGCGATTGGTGGTATATTTTTTGGTCCTAGGTCAACATTTGACCTACTTTTGACCGGTCAAAGGTCAAATTTTCGGAAAAATAGACTTTTTTCAACTTTCGGCGGCGATTGCGGCAAAACGGTGAGAGATATCGACTTGAAACCTTCACTATCGTGTTCCTTGATCAATTCTCTATCGTTTGGTATGTATTTCGTTTCCCTAGCTCTAAAAATAGCGCGTTGGGAGCGCCGGAAGTCGGCAAGGTCACAGTCGGCGGCAGAAATTCGAAAAATCAAAATTTAAATTTTTGAAATCTGATTGTATTTTTGGATTTGGGAGGTCCATTTGCTCCCTATAGAAGCTAATATTGCTGCATATTCCCATTGAGGTGACAAGAATCAGCAAAATAGTGGTTCGGGCGCTTTTCAAAAATAGTACCGGACGCTGTTCCTCTTGTGACGTCATAGCTCCGTGACCTGACCTGACCCGGTCAAATTTCTTATACCATATGATAGCCAATACTTGCCCCAACATGCATGGGAAGTTTCATCACGATCCATCAACCGATGTCCGTACCACCGGCAGGAAACCTCGGGCGTTGGCACTCAGTTTGTGAAAATCCGGCCGGAGGCTGTACCTCTTATGACGTCATAACTCCGTGACCTGACATGACCCGATCAATTTTTTTTCGGCAAAAGATGCGCAAAGGTTGCCCCAGAGGGTATTGAAAATTTCAGCCCGCTACGACAAGCCGTTTAGCGTGCACTTCGAAAAAACCTCAGGGGGGGTTGATACAACCCCCCCCCTAGGCGTTCTAGGGTTAACGCTTGGTGCCTTTTCTGCACTAACTACTATGAAACGAATCACTGCTCTCTTCTGGGCGTCGCCCATCCTATCCGAAATGGCGAACTATGCTACGAATAGAAGCCCGAATCTATCACAGAAGAGACTTAATTAATGGCCACTTACTTAATTTGCGTAAGTGGACATCCCAATAACACATCATTTAACACACCGCCTTGCAGGCCAAAATTCCAACTCCTTCATTGTTCGGCCCGAAACTTTTTGAACGCCCCTCGTAGTTACGAGCTTCAGTTTTCGGGGTCTGATGCGGTAATGACCTGGCGTTGAACCCTGGGGAATCAGGCTGCATCACCCACTCAAATCAATATACCTATGGCCTATTCTGGAGCACTGCGGCACCTTCCGAAGTCGGTGTAGGGCCTCCAGCGGCTGGTGTGGAGACGGATCGGGGTCTATTAGGGGCGGTCGCGTGGTATGCGGGACTCAGAGGCAGTTATGGACCTCTATAACCAATTGCGTTTTCGAGCCTCTTAAAATCCATTAAGGACCGGAGACCTAGACACGTGAAACCTCATTGTCAGCTACATGCACCTACTGTGGCTAGAGCCTTATTTATGTACTTGCATATGTGCTTATTTAATATTTGCTTATATGTTTATTTTGATTTTTTATCAACTGATAAGTGACAAAAGATTGGTAGGGCTCAGCGAACATTGGTAGGGCCCAAATAAACATTGGTAAGGCTCGGGCCCTACCAGGCCTATACAAAACGACGCCCCTGACTTTTGTGAAACTTGGTAGGTATGTAGGTAGGTAGGTAGGTACCACATAACTTGAAATTACTTGACGTAATGACATGATGTGGAAAGTGAAAATGATACCTAGGTATTGATGGAAATTTATGGACTTAGGTACGCTACAAGAAGATTGAATTGGTCAACCAATTCAAATTCAATCTACTTGTGGAGTAAGTCTATAGATTTTCATCAATAGTTACCACTTACCATTGAAGTTACTTGCTATCATGTTGATTTTATACATAAGAACCTCATTCATTTTATTTGTATGACATGTTTGAATGCAATTTTCTCAATAAGTGAAGAAAAATGTTGGTAGTGCTCAACAACACATTGGTAGTGCTCAGCTGAACATTGGTAGTGCTCGGGCACTCCCAGGCCTATACAAAACGACGCCCCTGCCTATCACTGAGTAAGACATAGGCATTACCACATTTATACGCAAAAACAATCTTTGGGGGGTTTCAGCCTAGCAGGAAAGACTACAACATATTACATACTTCGCCTATCTATCCCCGCGTTCGATGTCTCTCGGACGGCGAAGATTCTACGCCGTCCGGCCAATCACGTTCCATAACTGCAGCTGAGCCCCCGCTGACCTTGGACGGGATTGGCCGGACGACGTAGAATCTTCGTCGGCCGAGAGACATCGAACGCGGGGTATATTATCCTTGATCGTAGCCAAGGCCTCTGGCCAAGGCTATGTATCACAGGGGAGCAATGCCGCTTCAACCCTATTGGCCGTAGTGTCTAACGGTGGCGGCCATATTGCGCAGACCAGGAACCGGCTGCCGCCTGTGTTGAGGAATAGGGAATTCGGGACCTCGATTTACGTTTGCGGCCGCCACATCCGTTACATTCAAGTTACGTAGATACGGAACCCGGCATCTTACGCAGAATTGAATGGGGAACACGATCGTATCTTCAGAATTCCTCAAATTCACTCGCCGGACCTACATTTGCCCCGGCCGAAGGGGTTGATTGAACCCACCTCGCTAATGCGCCGCTAATTAAACTATAATTAAGCGGTAAAGTGGTCGTATGCGGCAAAGTATAATGCAGAATGACTGGTAGGAACCCGCTGTAAAGGTCTCAGGTCAACCGGTGACCTCTGAGGTCAGGTCAAGTGATCTAAGGCACGGGTTCGGTTTTTGGTTAATAACTTCGCCAAAAATGGCCGTAGAGCCGCGATTTTGGCACCATCGTGTTCAGCTAGCTCAGGCGCATCGAGTGATATACTTTTTGTTCGGGTCAGGTCAACTTAGGGTGTTGACCTCAGGTCAAGGTCAGGTCAGCACCCCCAGGTCACGAAGTTGGTCGAAAGAGGTCATGTCGCATATCATTCAATTCGGCAGGTCTTCCTGAGTCCATTGGTGGCTTTCCCGACTCGCTAGCTCAATTTGATCGGGAGTTATTGAAGAAAAATTGTGACACTTGTGACGTCACAAATGACGTCACGCAAGGGCAGCAATGCAAATATGAAGCATAGAACCTTGCAAGGAGTGCATGAAATCATGATTCTATATGCTTGGGATAGTTTCAGATCATTCTCGGCGCAAATATAGCAATTTTCATATTTCCCCATTGACTTATGAGGGTTTAACGTATTAGTTCCTTGTATCTGAGGATTTTTTAGGATTCCATCTTGTTCTCCACTCAATTCTGCGTAAGATGCCGGGTTCAGTGTCCACATAGCTTGAACGTAACGCATGCAGCGACCGCAAACGTAAATCGAGGTCCCGAATTCCCTATTCCCCAACACAGGCGGCGGCCGCTTCCTGGTCTGCGCAACATGGCGGCACCGTTGGACACCATCTGGCGGCCGATGCGCATTCCACATTATAGAGTTCAGTGCTATGTATCGTAGCAGACAACAGTCCCCGGTCCCATAAAAATTCAAATATGATCCCAAATAATTGCAGATTCTCATTTTATTATACCCATATAGCGATCACACAGTATTTTCTTAGTCTTATTGCATTCTTTGTGACGAAATTTATAAGAAAATGTTGCAGGAAATAATTCCTGTTTCATTTACTAAAGCTCTTGATCATTTAGACGAAAAACGCATCCTAGCAAAACAACGAAGGGGGAGGGGTAGAGGGACGGAACCTTTATGATAACCAAAAAGGACGGAATCGTTTAATTCATTGAGTTCTTTTTTTCCTTCCGTCCCTCCGTCCTTTTTCTTTATAAGAATGGCCTGGACGAGTTTTGCTCCTGCATGACTCAGAGTCCTTTCTCTCTCTCCGAGATATCGTTCCTGTTTAAAATCCTGACCTTGAATCTGCTCTTTTGTGGTGTTCGATCGATGTGGTGTTATCAGGTTAGGCCATTCCGAACCAATCAGCCGTCTCTCCCTATTTGGATATGTGTTTGGAGTTCATCCAGTTCGGAGGTCTATCCCGGCCTGTCCCGTACGTTTCAGTCTTTTGTTGTGGCATGTGTCGCGGAACATGGCCCTATATTTCGCCCTCAACCTTGATACGTATCATTTTGTTATCGTTTCAATTGTCTATTATCTGTATTCTGTATTACGTGTGATTTGATCTGTACCGCTTGCTCATTCATATTCGCCTTGACCTTGGCTAAAACCCGACCTTCACCCTAACTGACGCCCTTTCCGTCATTTCCTGCCCGACCTGACGCCGCTCTCCCCCGTTCCACCATGTCCTGCCTGTCCTGACGCCATTCTCTCCCTCTCCACCATGTCCTGCCTGTCCTGCCGATCCGGCGGCCGGCGGCGCCAGTCGGACCCCCACCTGCAGCGCTCGGCCCGCGGAGGGGGCGGGGGCACAGCTCCGAGCACTGCCCGCTCCGTGCGCGAGCGGAAGAGCTTCGCGCAGCCGGCGGCGGCGCCGCGGCTCCGTCTGCAGCGGCCCGTCAGCAGCGCCGGCCACAAACTCAAACAGACGGTACGGTGCGCCGGGGAGGTAGCGCAGGGTAGTATGGAGGAGCCGGTCACTTGTGTTGAGACCCAGTGTCGCACATCGACAACTTGTGCAGTGGGTGAAGCTATGCGGTGCAGCAGGCTTATTTAACCCGCGACCTGGTGGGGGGGCTATTTTTTGCCCCCCCCCTCCAGACTTTTCGATATATCTCCAGAACCGCTGCGCCGATCGTCACCAAACTTTCAGTACCCTCCCGGACATCAATTTTACACATTGTGACCAAACATTTTCCAAAGGCTATGATAGGTTGGCCGGAAATGACGTCAGAGTGACGTCATGTTCTGCCGTTTTCGACCCAAAAAAGGGTTTCGCGGGAAGAGCTGTCAGGCCTATAGCTTTGCGAATACAGAAAAATGATAAAGACATAAAAGCTGTAGATTGGACAGGGCTACAAAACTGCTATCTCGGATTTTTGAAATTTTTGGATTTTGACCCCCAAAAATCAAAAAATAGATTTTTTGAATATAATAATCGAAAAATCCAAAAAGTTTTTTGAATTTCGCAAAAACCGGAATAAATGTGATAGTCCTTACCGCCTTCAATCCACATACCAAATTTGAGATTGATACCTCTTTTTTTGGCGAAGTTATAGCAAAAAAACTGTTCAAAATTGATGACGTCAAATTTTCAAACTCAATTTTTAGCAATTCTAGACCCCGTAGCGCAAAACAAAGACCACCATTAGACTCCCCGTGACGAGCTGCATCGAATCAATACCCATTTTATGCAAAACTATCAACTTTAAAATTTGACCTTTTTTGGCCTGACCTTGACCTGACCTTGACCTGAACTTCACCAGAAAGTGACCTAAGCCGTACCTGATAGTCTTATAACCAACACCATTGAGTTGGAAATGAAAAATTGGCCATAAAACATGTATCGCACAACCTTAGTAAAGTTGGGCTCATGTGACCTGACCTGTGACCCTTGGTGACCTGACCTGTGACCTGACCTGGTATTGCCAGTGACCTCTAATAGCAACATATCTACTAGGCAACTGACGCCCTACCGCTGATTCTCGACAAAATGCGTTTTCCTCGGTGTTATAGCGCATTCCCTGGAAGACCCGTGAACGGTGAAACATTTCATCTTTGACCTGACCTGTGACGTCATCGGTGACCCCGAGGTCAATGAAATTTGGTTTCCTTCGACAAATTTGACAGGCCTTTCGAACGCCGTTTGAATTTTGCGGATCCGTCCAGTAGTTTCGGAGATACGAGGGGGGGGGGGGGGGGGGCAAAAAATAGCCCCCCCCACCAGGTCGCGTTATAAACAGACCCCACCAGGGCGCGGGTTAAAGGGTAAAACGTAACGGTCACTGCAAAGTCGGCAGATGTGCCGGGAAAGAAAATAAAATAAATACTGAAGAGTGAAGAGAAAGACATAGCTAAAACCCCCATGGCAAGACACAACGCAGTAACAGACTAACGGACGTACAGCACACTGGCTGCATCGTGCAGTGCAAGGCCCTTCACAGCCTCAAACAGCCTCATTTACATTGTAATGTATGACTGTTAAGTGCAAACAAGTATGTGCGTCGCGGCGGGGACAGCCACTGCAAACAACACCTTAGTCCATTACCGTAAACAGAGACATACAACGTGCCCCAAGGGCACTGCAAAATATTTGGGTCAAAGGCAGCTGTTAGAATCTGCCTTGTTCTGCAATGCAGTGAAAACGTGCTTGGCCATGGCAGTGCATTGACTTACCAGCTTCGCTATATGAATTCCCACACAACATCGTCTGTGATCAGTCATATCTTGGCTGCAACACACCGCTGCGCCATTCCCTTCCCTCTGACTGTGTCTGGAGACCGCTGGATGCTAATGTCGCCGTGACGAGTCGCCGGAGCTGCTCCGCCCCCGTCCAGGACACGTCCCGTCCCGAATACCAAATCCCCTTCCCCGGCGGCGCTAGCAGTGAGTCACTCGTGACTCGGCTGTCAGGAGCCCATTACCGCGCTGACGTATTGTCCCACCGTGATGCCGTCCGTGGTATCGATTCGTGAGTCGTGTTGTTTGATTTCGTGACTGTTTTTAGGTGTTGGTGTTTTTATGTTGTGACCCGTGTGCATAGTCAGCTGTTCGATATTTTATTAGCGATTCATTGCGTTTCCACAGGCGAACGTTGGTTTGTGTTGTAGCTTTTATTTATATTTATTTTTGCTTTCGTTTTTCGATGTAGAAGTGCAATGTTTTGCCTGCTAAAAGATTCTGGCCTGAATTGGTTTTCGGGTAGCGTGGAAAATGGGAAGTTAATTGACGGGACGCGGGCACGGGTCGGGCCGTGGACACAGAAAGAAGGGCAGAAGAAAATGATTGCTTGCGGTCCCCGTGCTGTAAAAAGCGGCCGGCCGTTGTCACACCAGGCTAGAGGACGGCCGACAGGGGGCAGGGATAGCTGCGCCGCTTTGGGGAAAGGCGGTCAATCTGGTAACTGCGACTGCAAGTAACGAACTTCAATTGAACAATTGCGAACTCAGGCCATGGCTTCAACGGAATTTTTATGCTTGCTGCCTGAATGAAACTGCTTTATAGTTTCTTTTCAATCGCCGTTCCCATACATCCAGTCACAAAATAACACTATAACAACTATCTAACACTATAACACACTTCAATTAGGTATAGTTAGCTGGTCATGACTGAAGCGACCTTATGAATTATGCAATGCTTCTGCTATTTTTGGAGGATATTTGGTTCCGCCATTTAAACATGCAACTAACTCCATGATGCCCGATCCTGGCTGTACCGCGGTCAGTAACTGTATTCACCGGTTGGGGCGCGGAGGTGCATAACCATTTACCGTGCTTCGGTGCTCTCGGGGGCGCTCCTTCAGTGCGCGGGCCCCTCACCGAGACATCCAGTGGCACCGTCGGGTGGTGCTCTCTCCCCAGCGCACGCAGCGGTGCGCGAGACATTGAGGGACGCTGTGGTGAGCGGGGAGGGGCGACTGTACAGGAGAGGGAGGCGCACCTGCCGCCGCCGCTCCCGGCAGCCTTTTAAGGCTGCCGCCGCCGCCGTCAGCTGGTCCGCTCGGCCGGACCGGTTCGGGAGCGGCTCTCGCTCGCGTGCCCGCAGCAGCGGACCCGCCCCCCGCCCGACGGACGGGCGGACGAACGGATTGACAGACGGGTACAGCTGCTGCTGCAGGCTGACAAAATCATCTGCTCACGGATCACGGTCGGGAGGGGGTCAGAAGTCAGACCCGCCTCTGAGTGAACCGAACGTGTCCCTGCCGGCTCCAGTGTAACGGTCGGATGTAGTCGCTCCGTCCTACTACCCAGTGACCCGTGATGGAGACCGGTCTCAGTTTTACAGCCGTAGGATGCTCTACGGCGGAGTTTTCCGCGGCCATTCCTCCGGAACCGGCCGAGATAACTCGGATCTGAGTTATATGGTGATTGTAAAGAGCCTGAGGCTATGGAGCAGTCTCTCTATATCTACCATGGTTTGCCTCCACCGCCACCGCTTCTGGCACAGCCTCGCCACAGCCCTGCTGACGGCTCCATCCATTCAGCTGGTCGGCGCATTTACCTCAGTGGGGAGGTGGAGACGGGGACGGGGCGGGGTGGGGCATTCCGACCGCCCGGCCACGTGCGTGCCTCCCCTCCCCTCCCCTCCCCTCCCTGTGGGGCGGGGTCGGCGGCACGGTGTCGGTGTCGATGTCCTCGCTCAGTTGGTGGTCAGGGTACGGCCGGGGCGGTACAGTCCCGCTCGTACCGCAGTACCGACCCGAACCAGGCTCGCCGTACCGAGTACAGCTTGAGTTGGTGGCATCGGCAGCTGCAGCGAGGTCCAACGTGTGCTCAGTTCTTCGTGACTGCCTTCAGCATCTCAGAGGAGAAAGAGCCGACAGGATGAATCAGCCAGCCACTGGGAAGCTGGTTGTTCGCGGTACTTCCCTCCTATCTGAGGTGTGCTATCTCCCCTAGGAATGCTTCTCATATTTGCTCCTACATCGCTGCGCAGGGGGAACTACTCGGCATTGCGGCGCCCTTGGCTCCAAGCACGCTGCTGGCTGCGTTGGGGCGTCGCTGCCCCAACCCTCCCCTGCTCACATGTGCGTTTCGCGGGGCGTACAGGCGGGGGCTGTATTTTTAGGCGCCGTCGCGGTGCCGGGGCGGAGAATCTGTTGACAGGCGCTCACCGCCACTGGGAGGTGGACTGAGGGTTGGAAGGAGGCGAAATGGAACCGGGGAGGGCGCAGATAGAATGCAGGAGCAAGGAGAATGCAAAATAAAACAAACGGAAAGTAGACGAGAGGCAGGCTAAGAGAGTAAAATAGGAAAGATAGAGCTCACGCTGAGAGACTGAAGGTTCAGTCCGTGGGAAAACCAAATGCAGGCTAGGATAGACGGACAGCTAAATGAGTCGAAATTCAGACTAACAGGCGACAGGCAGGCGGAGAACCAAGAGACGGTGAAGTGCCACTCAGGCCGAGAGAGCTGTCTCGTACCGAGCGATCCTTTGATCGGGCTGATTGATACCACTGATCGGAACAGATGCGTGTGTGTGATCTGAGATGCACGGAATGTAATGTGTTGTGACTTGTGTGTGCGCGGTGCGCTCGTCTCTCCCGCGCCTGTATCGTCTCTCCCGCGCCACGCTCGTCTCTCAACACCACGCTCGTCTCTCCCGCGCCACGCTCGTCTCTCCCGCCCCACACTCGCCACCACTGATTGTCGTATTTGTGTTTCAGTACACGTCCAGGCCAGCGGTAGCCGCCCCGAATAACAAATGTAAGTGCAGCGCCGCACAGGCTCCTCTTAGCTTCATTGGAATGGGCATTAGGGTCGGCAGAACGGTGATACCATCGGACGTTCATGGAGTTGAATGACGTTCGTGTTTCTGTACAGGGTGTCCCAAAAAAATGTACCTCATTTGAAATGAAGATATCTCAATATCTGAGCATATAATGATCCTAAATTTGGTGCCATATGAAAGCTCATTCCATAGCATTTTGTTTGATATAAACTATTTTAGTGTACGTTACGAGACAGCCGAGTGATAGCGAAAGAGCAAAACCCCTGCAATTTCGCTCTTCAACTATTTCCACAGGTGTTTCTGGTAAAAAGCTTTCAATTGTTTTGCCGATATTTTCAGCAACTCAGAAGAAAACAATTAGAAACATTGAAACTAGGTTTCATTCATGCATTGCTAACATAGCAAACACACATCGCATCACATCCCAGTTAAAGGTTCAGCCGTGCTAACGCTCGAAGTGCCCTCCTTTTTGCTCGACACACATGGCGGAGCGTCTGTAGGACTCTTGGGCTACGCGGGCACATGTTTCAAGCGGGTTTTTCCGGATGCATGTCCGGGTCGAGTTCCTCAGCTGGTCCAGAGTTTGAGGATTCTTTGCGTGTACCACACTCTTGAGGAACCCCTACAGATAAAAGTCAAGAGGCGATAGGTCTGGGGAGTGTGGCGGCCAGCTAACGTTGGCACGCTGGGATATGATCCGACCACCCATGCGCTCGTTGAGCCAGACCATCGTTGATCTCGGAAGTATGTGGAGGAGCCCCGTCCTGCTGTAGCCATTGGAGGCTGATGGACGATGGTGTTCACACATTTTTTTGCACACTTGTGGGACGAGCTTTTTTGTTTGTTTTGAAGTGGTCCTTTAATTTCCGCTGTGTTTGCACCACAGAGCCGGTTTTGAGGTAGGATTTTGCAACTTGAATCCTTTCCTCCTTGCTCAGTTGCCCCATTGGGCAAAATTAAAGATGTGGAGCATTAATTGCCATGAAATTAGCTTTAATGAAATATATGATAGCTATCATCACGAGCGTATTTTCTGAGATGTCTTCAGTTGACATGAGACACAATTTAGAAAGACTTGTGGCAGTAATTCAAGTGCGAAATTGCAAGGGTTTTGCTCTTTCGTTATCACTCGGCTGTCACGTAACGTACAGTAAAATAGTTTATATCAAGCAAAATGCTATGGAATGAGCTTTCATATGGTACCAAATTTAGGATCATTGTATGCTCAGACACTGAGATATCTTAATTTTAAATGAGGTACATTTTTGGGGGACACCCTGTATATGATTACTGGATATTTTGATTGATATTATCATCCATATTTCTAGCATAACTCATGAATGACTGGAACGCTATGTGAGCCTTGCAATGACTGTATTAGTTTCAGTCAGACGGTCACATGATGCTTACCCTGCATGTATATCCGCAAATAAACTTATCAAAACTACACTGCAGTGCTAACGCCTCCGTCTCTCCTCTCCCCGCAGCATCAGCCGTCAACAAGGTGCGACAGAGTTACGTGCGCCCGCCGGTGGGCGGCGGCGGCCTGCAGCCCTCCCAGAGCGGCACGGACATCTCCCCCGCGGCCAGGGAGCGGGAGCGGGACAGAGATGCGGAGAACATCGCGCCCGGCTCCACAGTCAGCAAGGCTACCGGCGGCGGCGGCATTAGCGGTGGGTGCGACAGTGGAACTGGGTTGGGAACGGGGTGGGACCGGGGTGGGGTCAGTTGGTGGTGGTAAAGGAGGTGATTTGTGTCGTCTTGTTTTGTGTCTTTTATGCGATTTTAGAGTTTTTGCTAGAGTGAGAGTTTTCAGTTTTGATGGGCTCCATGATGTTTTGAAGTTAAAAGATTTAGATCTAAGCTCGTGGCTCTATGCTTTTCGGTTTGATGAATCTGAGATCTCGGAGACTAGGTGAAACCGTGTTTAGGTCAGCTGCAGTGTTGGGCATGGTGTGTTGGTTTTCCAGCGCGGCGGAGAAGCAATGTCGTCAAGGAGGTGGAGAAGCTGCAGAAGAAGAGGGAGGAGCGCAGACAGAACCAGAACAAGAAGCGGGAAGAACGGGAGGGGCTCATGGGCATCGACCCGGGAAACCCCAACTGGGAGTTCCTGTCCATGATTAGGTAAGGGTCCTATGCTGTTGTCGTAAGGGTCCTGGTGCGGTTCCTATGCTGGGGGATTTAGAGGTTTGACGTGGTGGCTATGACGTTGTACCCCTCCCTCCCTCGCCATCCCCCCCCCCCAAAGAAACATCCCTGATAGCTGACACGCATTTTATTTCAAACATTTCATCAGAGTCCGACCTATATTAGTTATGTGCGTTTCGCACTAATATAAAGCTGCCATCTGGAATTTAATACCAACTAATTTTAATCACCGCAATCATCATCTCAGCCTCGCTCATAACATCGTTCCTGAGGTCTTGCACCTGTGTTTCAGGGAATATAAGAGTGGCCTGGACTTCCGGCCACTGAAGGACGGCGACCCGCTGGAGGACCACCAAATCACAGTCTGTGTCCGAAAACGGCCGCTCAGCAAAAAAGGTAGGTCATACAGACCAAACGGCCATTCAACAAAAAAGGGTAAGCCCAAAGGCCCAAACGGCCCTTTAGGAAAAAATAGTCACTACTTCACGATGGTCACTTGGTAAAAGTAGGCACGACTGCCCAAATTGTGATAAGAAGTAGGCTCGACTACCCAAACTGAGGCGGCATATCATGATAATGTTTGGCAGAAAGAGTCGGGAGGGCTTTAGGATGGAACCAGAGTGCTGGACCCCCTAGGAAAGGTGAAATTTGTGTTCGGTGTTGTGGAGTTACCTAGCCTGTTTGGCCTACGACTTTGGACTAAACGCAGTCATCTTCATTCTCTGTGTGTTTGATAAATCGGTTCTAGGTCGTTATTAACCTCATCAACTGCTGCCTGTCCTCGCTCGACTGTCCCGTCTCTCCCTCCCCCGCCCCCTCTGACCTCCCCGCCCCTCCGCAGAGATCACCCGTAAGGAGATTGACGTGGTAACCATGCCGAACCGCGACCAGACCATCGTACACGAGCCGCGCACCAAAGTCGACCTCACCAAGTACCTGGAGAACCAGCACTTCCGCTTCGACTACGCCTTCGACGACACCTGCGACAACCAGCTCGTCTACAAGTGAGTTGGGAGGGACGCGGACGGGGTAGGTGGGGAAACGGGTGAGTGTCAGTGGTGGGACCGGCGGCTGGGAGCTGTCAGACTTTGATGGGACGGTGGGGCGATCTGTCGCATAAGTGGATGGAGGCTTAGGTGGAAGTAGTGGATTAACCTACAGATGTTAATCCACTACTCATCTACTCATCACCGAACGCTCATCTCTGATACTAAAAAAATGTCCGTTTCGCTCGCTCGTAAAAAAATGTCCGTTAGTCAATGTCATGTTGACCGATTTTGTGTTGAAGTCATTATAGGGGAAGCATTATTCATATGCCACGACGATTACCCATTCAGCCACAATTTTAGGCTGCCCTTTCGTGACCTGACCTGATGTAGGCGGGCTGACTCTGTGCAGCCGTCCCTGACCCGACCTGACCCGCCCGTCTCAGGTACTCTGCTCGACCGCTGGTGGACACCATATTCGAGCGCGGCATGGCCACCTGTTTCGCCTACGGCCAGACGGGCTCGGGCAAAACCCACACCATGGGCGGCACGTTCAATGGCAAGCAGCAGGACGCCAACCAGGGCATCTACGCCATGGCGGCGCGCGACGTCTTCCTCAAACTGAAGTCGCCCCAGCACAGGAACAAGGGACTGGCCGTGTCAGCGAGCTACTTCGAGATCTACAGCGGAAAGGTAGGGTGCGGGGATGTTAGAAGGGGAAAAGCGGGACGGATTTCTTTCTCACCATTTGATGCTGAGGCTGGTCCGTGAGCGTGGTTGCATTCAGCTGCTGTCAGGTTGCGGATCCCGGGTTAATGCTTTGTTGATGCTCAAAGGTCATGATGGTTCGACAAAGTACACTTCTATCTTCCGTTCGATTCAATGTCGTTCGAGTTTGAAAGGGCGCATTTGGATGCAGCTAATTGTGCAACGATAGATTGTTAAGCAGAGATGTCGAGCAGAACTTTGGCCTATTCGCCACAAACACGCCAATTCAGGGTCAATGCCTCGAATGGGGACACCATAAAGTACCATTTCGTGACGTGGAAATGTCTATCAAACAGCCTGAGACCTTCCATCGACTCCCACCGTCTGGGAGGGCGTTTTTACACCGGCCGCGGAGCGCCTATTGTCCCTTTAATAGACTATCGATCCCGACCGCCCCTGTTGACCGGACGGGCCGGTTTGTATGCGGTGTGAGATGGGCCGATCGACCGCCGGCGCGGGACCATCACAGACACTGGAGCGCCGGATTGGGCTCCTCTGCGCGTCTCTGTCTGGTGTCGGACTTTTTGATAGGTAGACTGGGGGTCGAACGCGTTTATGGCTGGACCCTGGTGGTAGTTGGTTTCGGCACTTACTGGAGCCAATTTGGGAGGTTTAACGTCCAAGATGAGCTGATCGATTTGGGTGCCCTGGTGTTGACAATAGCGAAATCCATATGTTGTGGTCGCTTCACATGCGACTGATGTTGATAGACTCCAATTCGTCTAACGTGCGGTCATTTGTCTCTGGAACCATAGGAACCCTCTTGCCTCGTCCTGTCCTGTTTCGTTTCGTCCCAAATCATCCCGTGTTGTACCGCATTGTCTTGTCTCATGTGCCGGTGCCCCGGTCAGCCCGCCGGCCCTATGCGACCCGACCGGTCCCCCATCCACCCAGCCCTGTCTGGTGACTTGGTTCTGGCAATCACTCTGCCTTCCGGATAATTTGGCGGCCCTCTTTGAGACCGGCCCGTCCCCTTCAAACACCCCGGTCACCGTGGGTGCTCTCTCTGTGTTCCGCCCCCCGTCCAGCCGGCCGCTGTGCTGTGGTGGCTCTGTGCTGTGCCGGCCCCCTGTGCTGTGCCGGTCCCCTGTGCTGTGCCGACCCTCTGTGCTGTACCGGCCCTCTATGCTGTGCCGGTCCTGTGCTGTGGTGGCTCTGTGCTGTGCCGGCCCTCTGTGCTGTGGTGGCCCTCTGTGCTGTGCCGGCCCTGTGCTGTGCCGGCCCTCTGTGCTGTGCCGGCCCGGGTCGCGGAGATCGGCGCCCGACGCCCCGCCCGTCCGATCAATACTCTCAGCTCGTGGCCGGCGCTCCACAGCGCTGTTAAACGAATAGGCGACCGATGCCCAGCCATATAAACCGCCCACTGGGAGCGACCTGATGCGAACTGACACTGTGAGGCAATGGTGATTATTGGAAGCGACTTGGCTTTATGTCCGCAAATTCCTGATACACATCAATGTCGTTTGAGTGCGTAATGACCATAGCAGCTGGCGCGACCTTGAGGCCAATAAAGAACCAAATGGAAATAATGATTAGCCTTTGCTTGTCAGTTTCTTGCCATAATTCGAACCAGTCAGGTCAAATATCTGCTCAGACAGAGCACTGCCGCAGATCTACTGACACTGTTGTCTTTCTCCCCGTCTCTGACCAGGTGTTTGACCTGCTGAACGCCAAGGCCAAGCTGCGCGTGCTCGAGGATGGCAAGCAGCAGGTGCAGGTGGTCGGTCTGACCGAGCGGCCCGTCGAGAGCATGGAGGACGTGCTGAAGCTGATCCAGCACGGCAACAACATCCGCACCAGCGGCACCACCTCTGCCAACAACCACAGCTCGCGCAGCCACGCCGTCTTCCAGATCATCCTGCGCACCCGGCAGTCCGGCGTGCCGGCCGACCGCTGGAAACTCTACGGGAAGTTCTCACTGATCGACCTGGCCGGCAACGAGCGCGGCGCTGACACCTCCTCCTCGGACCGCAACACGCGCATGGAGGGTGCCGAGATCAACAAGTCGCTGCTGGCGCTCAAGGAGTGTATCCGCGCGCTGGGCCGCAAGGGCGCCCACCTGCCGTTCCGGGCGTCCAAACTGACCCAGGTGCTCCGCGACTCGTTCATAGGAGAGAACTCCAAAACGTGCATGGTGAGTGGGGAGTGGGGTGCCGGGGGTTGGGGTGGCGGATGAATGGAGAGAACTTATCGGAGCACACTTATTTTAATGGGTTAAGAGAAGAAAGTGAAGACCTGCTCAAATTAGCATTATGGTAGCTTCAAATGCGTATTTACACGATTAAATATGATGTTATTTTGCGTGTCTAAAAAGCCCGGGGAATATCATCATGAAGGAGCATGAAGGAGCCTGCCAGTCTATTTGAAACCCTGCTTTGACTTGGGTTCGCTGTCACTTTCCCTAACATCTAACCCGCCTCGCCCTTTCCCCAGATCGCCATGATCAGCCCGAGTCTGAACTCGTGTGAGCACAGTCTCAACACGCTGCGCTACGCCGACCGTGTGAAGGAGCTGGGTGCCGCCGACCCGATGGACATGAAGCCGGAGTCGGACCGGGCGGGACAGGCCAGCCCCTCCCCGGAGCCCGACGAGGAGCGCATGGGAGTCGAGGGCAACGAGGACGACCTGGCCCAGCTCCGCTCGCTCAACGTGAGTGTCGCGTGCAGTCAGTTGTCTGGTGCCGTCTACCAGATTTTTATCGTCACAACATAACTTTTCTGCCCATGACCGCTGAATGACGCGTGTGCCATCCGCCCTCTAGAGTCCGCTGCGCGCCGCGCGCTGACTCTCTCTCCACCCCTTCCACAGGAGGGCGAGCTGTCCGCCGACCTGTACAACTTCCACGAGGCCGTCTCTCACGTCCAGGAGATGGAGGAACAGGTGCTGGACATGCACAAGGCGCTGATCGACGCCTCCATGCGCTGGCAGCAGATGGACATATCGCTGCTCAACATGACCAACGAGGTCGACTACGATGTGGACGGTGAGTGAGGCGGCGCCACGGGAGTGGTGGGTCCGGGTGTGTGTGGGGTGGGGAGGGAAGGGGCGGTTGGAACGGTTCGTGAAGAGTCTGGTAAATTTCATTTTTGTAGGAGGTGCTGGTTGTTGCAGGTTTTGCGTCCCAAGTCTGACACTGGATGAATGGGGCGAGTAAAGGATTATACGAATAGGTGATGTCAGGTATCCCATTTATTTGATTATACTATACCCTCTCCATCTCCCTTTAAATCGTTAATTCAAACGTCAGTGTTCTGAGTCGCTGGATCTCCCTCCGAAATTAGCTGTACTTTCTTTACCTGACTGATGGCTACCTGGCCTCCCGTGCCCCACTGACCGCCCCTCCCCCCACAGCGTACGTGCAGCAGCTGGGTGACCTGCTGGAGGAGAAGCTGGACACGCTGAGTCGGTTCCGTGAGCGGCTGTCCGTCTACCGCTCTCAGCTAGCAGAGGAGGAGCTGATCTCACGCAACATAAAGCCCACGCAGCGCCGGTAGGCGGCTCGCGCGCGACTCGTGGGGAACATTCCGCACCCGCCCGACGGCCGGGAGGTCACGGCCGACGGCCGAGCACTCAAACCGGCACACTCGTCAGGCACTCACAGCACTCTGAGCTACAGAGGCGCTCCCGAGGCGCCCGGGACGGCGTGAAGTGACCGCCTCCGTCAGAGCGGCGGCAGCGAGCTCGGCGTGCGTGTGAGCTGAGCTTTACGCGGACGGCGAGTGGCTGAGAGGCAGGGGCCGGGACAGCGCGCGGTACCGGCGGCGACCAAAGCGTCTGCGAGACGCAGTGATCTGGTGTTGAGGGAGGCTCTATGAGTGTCCAGTGAACGTACGGTGACGAGCGGTGGTCGACTGCAGTGAATGCCCGGTGACTGTACGCTGAACCGGGGGTGATCTGAAGTGATGTTCGGTGACTGTGCGGTGAACGGAGCGTCTCCGGTGAGCCCGGCGGAGGTGTGTGGGGATCGGTGCCGGTCCCCAGCGCCCCGGCGGCGCTAGTATGTGGCGGTGCTCCGGGCCGGTCACCGTCGCTCCGCCGGCCCGGCGCACCGCCGCCGCCGCGCCTGCCGGCTTCTGCTGACACGGAGTCGGCGGGATACCTAGCTGCACGGGCACACTGGCCACGAGAGCGCCCTCGGAGTGAACGAGATCGAGCGAATAGTGAGTGAGACCGAGTGAGAGTGAGAGTTGAGTGATAGTGAGTGTGGCAGTTGTTTTTGAGTGTTAGTGAGTGTGTTGGCTGTTTGGTTACGAAGTGAGAGCGCGAGAGTCGGCGGGAGGCCGGCAGGGTCGGGAGAGTGACCCGCCATTGGGTCGGGTGGCCCGCAGGCCCCGGTTATGTTGTCTTACAGTTGTGCGTGTGCGCCTATTTAATATCTTCTTCTTCACCGTGACCGCTGGCGTTCCACTAGGAAAATTTTAACTGCGTTTTACGTGATAGCCTATGTAAGTAATAAAGTTAAATATATTAACGTCGGCGTCGGTTTTCACAATGTACACAGCGGGCGACACGGTACGGCTAATGTCTGTTGAAACTAAGCATTACGCAACCGAATGGTAACCTAGCACATGCAACAGACGACCATCGTATGCGCTACAAGCTAAAGCACGAAGGTACATTGATTGGCCCATCCATGCACCGAATCTCTGCAATGATTCGGGTTTCGGCTCAGGCTCACATTAAGACCATAGCTGTAAGTATACTCTATTACCCTATGCAGCACGACATGAACTGTACGCAGCGCCTCGTATGATTCATTTCTCGCCGTGTGAACCGTGATGAATATTTACACGTCCGATTGATCGTTGATCCCTTATCTTCCGAATTACGCACGACCACTCGACACGTCGATGACTAACCCCGACACATTCTCGGCATCCATTCACACCAAACCACACATCGGCTCCCTCGTAGCGAATTGTCGCGCTCTGGAATCACAGATTTCACCCATGTACGAGTATGTACTTTTCACTCTTAAACATACTCTGATCTTCCTAGCTTTCTTGCGTTTTTCGTCTTGCATAACGCCTCCCACTGTTTGTAAGGGCTGGCGGTAAAGCACACTTCTCCGGCAAGGCTTGAGTCACGTTACTGCACCGGCCGCTACCGCTCCATCGTCCTCCAGGACCCACTCTCCTCCCGTCCCTCCCCTCCCCCGCAGTCATGGTATGCGCGCGCGGCGCGCGCGCGACCCGCTGCGTCTCTGTCTGACCAGCAGGGCCGTCAGCAGCGCCAGCAGCACGGCCAACAGCGTGGTCACAGCCGCCACCATGAGCGGTACGAGCGGCGTGCGCTCGTCGGGCACCGCCAGGAAGCTCAGCGCCTCCTGGCCCGAGGTCAGCCCGCAGTCCAGCTGCACGATGATGGTGTTGTCCTGCGGCAGCGCCGGGTTGCGCTGGCAGCGCAGGCGCCGGATGTGCGCCAGCTCGTTCCAGACCAGCCGCTGGTAGAGCCAGGCGGGTGCAGAGGCCCAGGCCAGCCAGCCGGTCCAGGCGGAGAGCTCGTGCGGGTGCACGCTCCAGCCGGCGACCAGGAGCAGCGGCAGTAGCGCGGCGGCCAGCCAGCCGGCCGACAGGTGTCGGGACGAGCTCAGGTAGGCGGCCACTATCGCCAGCAGACGGACACACTGCAGGTAGAGCAGCATGTAGCCTGCCAGAGAGGACAGAGGGCGGTCAGGAGTGTGTAGAGCATAGTACGGTACACGCCAGAGCCTAGAGGCAATTCTTTACATAATTGTCATTACTTTGAGCTCACGAATGACCGACATCAAGACTATGCTCTTGAGATGAGCAGCACAATTACCGGTCCGAGCTCCTGCGCCCAGCCGCGCCGCGCCGCGCGGTGCTGCCCCCTACACCCGGTCCCGGTGCAGCCACTCACCGGCGTACACGTAGAACGTGGAGGCGGTGTCACTGGGCTGGGAGCCGGCCATTCGGTGCGCCGGTGCCACCAGCATGATGCACTCGAGCGCCGAGCCCGGCAACCCGAAAAATATCTGACGGGGCAGAGGAAACACGTTAGAATGTAACCAACAGATATATTTTCACGTGGATTTGATTAAATACGAATTACCTGTCTGTGGCGCGCTGTCCCATTCTGTCCCAAGCTGTCCACAGCCCCTCCTGTCCCCGTCCCTTCGCTGTCCCCTCCTCCCCTCTCCCTCCCCTCTTACCTGACTGACGGTGTGGCAGGCCCTGGAGTAGAGCCGGTCGTCAATGTCCTCCCCGCCCTCCCCCTCCTCCCTTCCCCTACCCTTCTGACCTGACTGACGGTGTGACACGCCCTGGAGTAGAGCCGGTCGTCAATGTCCCGGCTGACCACGTCCTTCTCCCTCCAGATGTCCGACACGGTCAGTAGCAGGCTCGGCCAGGCGGCCAGAGACAGCATGGCGTAGTGGAACCCGGTCCGGTCCGGCACCGTCTCCTGGGAGAGAGCGGGGGAGCGGGGAGAGTGAGATAGGGTAGAGGAGGGTGATGTCTCGAGTGTTTTAGCAGGGCCGCTACGTTCCTCGTATTTGATAAGGCAGCCACAGGTAGAAGACGTTTTGAGTGAAGACCGTCATTGCCATCAACGCACGTCCGTGTGAATGAATGCATGAATGAATGAATGAGTGGAGTAAGAAATGACGAATGAATGGATGAATAAAAGTTGCACCAACTTTTAATATAAAATGTCATCGAATACCTTATAGTAGCATGCGTCCCCACCAACATTGTAGAAGTTCATCCACTCTGCCGTCCAAAGGCAAAAACGCATATGTCAGGTCATGACCTGACCCGACATATGCGGTTTTGCCTTTGGACGGCAGCACTGAGCCTCACCTGGTCCCGGTCCTCCCCCCGTATGTCGTAAAACACGGTGCCCACTATGAGAGACATGATGCAGGCAGCCATCAGCCGCACCGCCCAGCCCATCACGTTGTACGGAAACTTGTACACGGTCGCTTGCCTGTCGGGAAAACGGACGAGTTACTATACATTAGATAACCAGCCGTGAAGTGAGTGGTAAGCGTTAGTTTTTTCGATGCCTGTCAACGAAGAATGTTGAGTAGAGCGGGATAGTTGGTTCAGAAGTTGTAGGATTACATAAATAAGTGAGCTAACCTGAAATCTCTCCTGATTTGTGACTCGAGGCGGCAATAGGTACTAACTTGTACCTGAGACCCAATACATGATACCGCCGGTCCGTCTACCCTGTACTCACACGGCCAGCGCCATAAGCTGGGCGCAGCAGCCGGCCCTGCGGACCCGTGGCGGCAGCAGGCCGGCCGGGCCGGGCATCTCCAGCGTCTCCTGGCGGCGCTGGAACGCCTCCGAGAGTTCCGAGACGCGCTGGGAGGACTCCAGGTGCGCCTCCGGGGACAGCTCGTCCAGCGTCACCAGGTCCACTGCGGCACGGTGGGGAGGTCAGAGGAAAATGAATGAATGAATGAATGAATGAATGAATGAATGAATGAATGAATGAATGAATGAATGAATGAATGAATGAATGAATGAATGAATGAATGAATGAATGAATGAATGAATGAGAAATCAAGTGCGAGTAAGCTGTCACGGAGGGCGAGCTGCATTGCAGATATGGAGATGAGAGTGTTAGATTTCTTTTAGCTATTGCAAACGGCTATCAAGGTGTATGTAACCAAATACATCAATATGGCCAGCAGACACTCGAGTACACACTCACGGTAGTAATCGGACGGGTTCTTATATGACGGACACTCGTAGTCGATGAAGGTGAAGTAGGGCAGCATCTGCTTGGCCTTGCCGCTGAACACCAGCCTCCGATCGGCCAGCAGCAGCACACGGCCCAGCATGTTGAATATCTCATAGGTGGGCGGCTGCAGGGTCAGCATCACGATCCGGCCTCGGGCGGCCCACTGGCGCAGGTACTCGATCATAAAGAAGGTGTCGAAGATGTCCATGTGCCGGGTGGGCTGGTCGAGCAGAACCAGGTCCGTCTCTAGACACAGGTGACAGGCCACGTTCAGTCGACACAGCTCCGACTCGGTCAGGTCACAGACTGAGGTGTGCTTCACCTGGCCCAGACCAAGGTCCTCTATTAGAGCGTTTATCTGCCGGGGAGACAGGGGGAACAGACGGTCAGGTCACAGACAGACGTGTGCTTTAACTGGCCCAGGCTGAGGTCCTCGATTAGGGCGTTTATCTGCCGGGGAGAGACGGATAAGAGGAAGTCACGGCAAGCGCTCAGTAAAGAATTAGTTAACAGTTCACAAATGGCCAGAAAACAGAAAACGGTACCTAAATAAACGTTCAGCAAATAGTCAGAAGACGATTTTTAAACAATCACATAACGGTGTCAGAAATAGTGAGTAGAGGCTAGTAAACGTTGAACTAAGGTGACTGTTGTTTAACAGTGAGTCAACAAATGTTTAGTTAATGGCCCGGATAAACGGTCACTGGTCGATGGCGATCAGTAAACGGTTGGTGGACGATTAGTAAGAAACGGTTAGTAAGAAACTTTCAGTAGACAATCAGAAGACGGTCAGTTAACGATAGCCTACCTTGCAAACGGTCAGTTAACTACTAATGGACAGTCATTTGATTACTAAAAGACAAGTCAGTTGACGATAAGTAAATGTTTACTGAACGATTAGTAGACGATCAATAGTCAATAAACGGTCATTCATTAGACAGTCACCTAACGAGTAACAGTTTCGAAGACGGTCAGTCAGTACCTACTCTTGTTTGTCACTTGGGGCTTATAGGGCGCGCCGACTACAAGAACATTCTGCGAGTCAGTACTCAGTATACGATCATCATTTGGTGAAAAAGCCATCAGTCAGCAGCAGTCAGTAAACGTTCAGTGGACGGTCGCCGGTCAGTCGATTTGTGTGACGGACAGTATAAGCGGACAGACAACATTCAGCAAATGGCTAACAAAAGATGATACTCCCCCCGCTCACCTTATTTTTGGTGTTGAAGCAGCGCGCCACGTGGCCCGGCTCCTGGAGGAAGGCGTGGAAGAGCAGCGTCTGACGGACGGACATGTGGCCGCTGAACGTGCCGTCCCGCTGGACGTAGGTCAGCCGCTCGGCCAGCCGCGCCGGCAGCACGGTGGTTCCGTTCAGTGCCAGCTGGCCGCTGATCCTCAGCTGGCCCCGGCTGCTGCAGTCGCCCAGAACATCCAGCAGCGCCGTGCCCTCGGCCTCTGCACGGAGAGAGGGGCGGGGTAACGGTCAGCCCTCACACCTTGTCCAGAGACAGGTCGACGGGAGGGTCAGGGATCAGCCCTTGCCCTCCTAAGAGCGGGAAACGGAATACGTGGGTGAGATGCAGCGAGTAAATTTGGTAGCTCTCTCTCTCTCTCTCTGTCTCTCTCTCTCTCTCTCTCTCTCTCTCTCTCTCTCTCTCTCTCTCTCTCTCTCTCTCTCTCTCTCTCTCTCTCTCTCTCTCTCTCTCTCTCTCTCTCTCTCTCTCTCTCTCTCTCTCTCTCTCTCTCTCTCTCTCTCTC